AATCTCTCTCAGCTTCAATGTTAATTGCTCCAGTGAAATCAGTTTCTACTTCTGTGAAGAGAGAACTTTCAAATGCATGATTTTTTGGCAGTTGCCTTGTTAGTTGTCTGGTGAGTTTCACTGTGTACGTCCTACAGATAATGCAAGGCTGTAACTTTCTTCACTACCTGTCTGCCTCTAGGTATCCAAAATTTATTCTTGACAGGGTTATCACAACTCCTAAATGAAATGATTTTATGTGTTCACTAAATATCTCTAGTTTTATTATCTTTGAAGTTAGTAGTATAGTAGAATGTTTTTTTCTCATCTATTAATTCTGCTTGTTCAAATGACCTCTGGCATGCAAAATACCTCTATTGTCCATATATGGTGCTAAACTGTAAAGCTTCAAATCATATATTATTAAATAATTCCTCTCCATCTGTTGAATCACTGAAGTATAATCTCTCTTTACACTTGTTATATCCAATATTCCCCAGCTTCTTGGATGTCCATTGTGGTCAGGGAACCTTCTTCACAGGCATGTTTTCTTAGATTGGTGACAAACTGCTTTAGCCAAGCTGTGATTCTCAACAATTTTTCCAAACTGCTGAACTTTGCAATATTTAATGCAGTTTCTCCTACTGGAACTCTCACATAAACATAAAGTTCTCAAACATTCCCAAATTGGTTATTAGTTTTTGCTTTAAGCTTTTGCTCAGGCCATTGATCTTTAGAACCTTTTAGCCATGATGGACCATGCCACTAAATATTGTCCTTGAACAATGTATAAGCTGTTTCACCACAAATTATCTTCTCCGGAGTGTTGCAACCCTTGACAATGTTTCCACTTATCAGGCGAAGTAAAGTCATGTATTTCCGCAACTCTGTTTGATATTAACTGTTTTCACTCTTGTGGTGATCCTTTAATCAAGCATAAAAATATTTCTGAATCTGTGTAGAGGATCACTTTATCTGCTAAGCCTTCACACACGTTTGATAAATAACTTCCACAGCCTTACCACGACTAATGCCCCCCTCCGATTATTTGAAACCTAGGAAGTGACAGCTTCTTTAATGGTGCTATACTTTTTTTTTTGACATTATAAACAACATACATATACCTCTCTCATTCTCATATCTAAAATATGCCACCACTGACTTATTGCAGAAAATAAACTTCAACCGAATTACCTTTATTTAGATCTTCCACATAGTAGTACCTCATTTTTAACTCGTTTAATTCCTTAACTTCAGTGCACCAATTTTATCCATTTGTACTTTAACTCTGAATCCCACTCCAAACCTCTCTCCCATATTTCCTGCATAACTCTCTCAATTTGCAGCACAAAAGGAGAAATAAATCTGATTGGAACGAACACCTTATCTGCTGTACTTAACACTGATTTTTTATTATTTGGCAATGATTCTAAATGGCTCAACAATGAAGTAATGTTTGCTCTTAAAACAACCTCTTCAGAATTCCTTACCTGCCAACACTTTTAACTTACTATCCCTCTTGGCCCTACTTTCTTCACTCAACTCCTTCTGAATCCACAAGTCATACGACTTTTTAAAATTTGTGTGTAGCTTTCTCAAATTAGAATTCACATCTCGCAAGATAGATACCACTTCTACTGAAAGCCGGTTCAACACTTTCTACTGCAAATCATCTGCCTGCAACAAGCTGTTTAACATTTCAACACAATCTCCACTCATTTCTGAGTATTTCTTTAAAGAATATTTGACTGTTGCATTCAATAAAAATGGTGAACAGTTACATCAAAATAATATTCTGTTCATTCCATGATTTTAAAGTCCTGACTGTCATTATCAGGATACTGCAAACTTTTAAATATTGCCTATTTTCCTTTGCTATCACAATCATTAAAAGCACCTTTTCTATGTTTCCTCAAAATCTGATTTAAAATTTTTGAAAAGGAAGAAGGATATCCAAAATATTCAGATTTAGGTTTGGACCTATTTCTAAGTAGTTGTTTAATTGCAGATTGCCTCCTTCAGAATTGCTGCAATTAAATACCATTTGAACTTATACTTTTTCTTTATGGACCACTGCTTAAAATGGCATGAAATATCCCTTTTTTTATCCTCACGCTCTTGAACAATGTTATATGAATGTATCTGATAATAAAATGTTCTCTCACAAAGTTACCATATTTTTAACTCTTGCTGCATCCCGTCAAACTGTCTTTTTCCTAAACCAAAATTATTTTCCAAACTCTCTAGATTTCTTTTCCATAACAAACTCACTTCATATCTCCCATCTACGTATTGCAAATCATCTTCAAACTGCTTAATAATTTGTTTATTGCACTCACTCCTTTACGATGCACAATTAGTAATTCGTAAACTTTCCAATTTCCAAGGCTGGCGAATCTGTTCCAATAATTTTTCTTCTTCTTCCAAATCAACTTGTGTAGACAAATCTATTGAATTTTTCTCTGATGAACTTAGCTTCTTATTCTCTCTCCCTCTCTGTCACTCAATGCCCAACCAAATATGTTTTCAGACAATACTGAACATTCAGCCAAACAGTATGTTTTCCCTATTCAAAAACAGTTAAAGTAATCATTTCCAATTAAAATCTGTACCTCTACTACATCAGTATTGCCACTATCAGATATCTCAAATCCTTCTTTATGTAACTTATTTAAGAACTCTGTAGTTGACCTTTCTATTGTATTGGAACATATGGTTTTAATTTCAAGTGCTTCAATAATCAGAGTATACCCACTTTTATTTTTTAGTGCCAGTTATTTTCTTTTAAACTGTATCACTGGTTGATTTGAAGATGCAAAAGTGTGAATTCTTAATCTTTACCAATAGTTGGCAATTCTGCATTTCTAGAAATGGATTGACACACGTAAGATCAGGGACGTAGCTAGGGTGGGGCAAAGGGGGACATTCGTCCCTGGGCGCAGCATCCAAGGGGTGCCGAATTGATGACACACATTTCAGAATGAAATGTTTTCCATTCTTCGAACGCAAAAAGGGGCACAAAATCTTAAGGCGTCCTCGGGCGTTAAAAACCTCAGCTAAGCCTCTGCGTAAGATCTTTCAGATGCAGTATTGCACAACCCGACATTGAATGTGGAATTATTTCCAATAAGTTCAGCTGTTAAAGTTTGGTAATAAATCAAATTGTTAGGAATTTGTTTACTCAATTGAATGAGGAACAATGAGGTAACATTTGTTTCTTTTACTCTGTATATTTATATTCTGCACATATTTGCTGCTTTTATTTTCTTGCATGTTTGATGAGTTACACTGGCTCGCTAAATGTGACTGACATTTGTAAATGTTACAATAAGCCCATTTCACCTTACAAAGGGTTTTTTCATGACTTTTTTCTTATACAGCACTTGCACTTGAAATGGTCGTATAATGTTTTGTGTTTCTCTGTGAGACTTACATCACAATCTTTTGAGGGTTGAGATTTAGGACACAAATCACACCTATATTTTTCAACTGATGTAATAAGCATTGCTGCTAAAGTCATTTTCATTTTAATTAGAAGGTAATTTTTATGATAAATGTCAATAATTTCTCTCGCTGTTTCTTGCAAATATTTGTTGGTTAAATCCTATATTTAAACACTTTTCACACACTTCTTGCTTTAGGAATAACAATAAATCTGACCCTACTGACGCTTTGCTGGAATTTTATTCTTTACTAAACTATAATACTAAATTTTGTGGTATGTACTTATTTAAAATGGGCAGTAACATATTACCATAAGAATTAAAATTAATATGTACTGTTTCTAAGGTTCTAATTTGAATCGTTATTTCATCATACACTTTTCTTAAATTGGATACATCATTTGAATGATATACAGAGATAATGGTAATCCACTTATAGCTTTTGCAGCTGAACTGGTGAGTAGCTATCCTAAATAGTTAAATTTCTCAACATCTTGAAATGTATTGTTTTTGTGAATGGCTGCTGTATTTCATAACCCAGTGGAATTGTTTTGATTTTAATGGCATTCTGAATATATCTAGTAAGTTTTGATTTACATCTAATGATAGCTTCACTGTATTCTAAGGAATGTTCCATTTCCATTTCATATTCTTGCACACTGCTTGATACGTTAATAACTTCATCATATTTCGATAAACTCTCTAATCTCTTCATTAATGCTGAAAGCAATTCTTGCAACAGTTCTGTATTTGGATTTTCGTTTTGTAATTCATCTTCTACTTTCTTAATTAATTTTATAAGAGTGATTTGAAGCGAATTTCTAATTTTTGTATTTTGTTCAACTGTTTCTTCAAGACTAGTTTTAATTTCCAAAGATAAATAGCATGCAAATAGATATTGTTCACTCACATTGTTTCAAGATTGACTTTTAAACAAAATTAATCCATGGTGTCTTAGCCAATCTTACCGACAATCAATACTTTGAAAACTAAATTTGATTTTTGTTTTCTGCTGCTCTGTACCAAACAACATATGAGAATTATTTGTTGACTTTATTACATCAGTGGTTCTTGATGTCTTGTTGAATTCAAATACACAAACTTTTATTTTCTTTTAATAACTTTATAAATCAAAGACCGTATACAATATATTTACATAATTGTTGTATTAATATATGCAATTACAATAATAATATTAAATTTGATTAATATTATTAACTCTGTAACTGAATTACATTAATATTTTTTTGCACTCTATTTCACTTAGTTCCAAACTTCCTCACACTCTCTCAGAACTGAAACTTTTCATTAATTATGTATGGGTGGTACAGTGCCCTCTAGAGCTTTTTCCATGTTGTAATATTTCTGTTAAACTGTTTAAAGGCATGTGAGCTCTTTGCCACACTGTGAGCTTTTAATTTCTTCTATAGTATGTTCTGCAGTTTGTCAGTGTGAATGAAATGCCAGATGTAAAGTTCTCTATAGAGAAAATTAGTTTTTACTTTCTTTTTTTAGAATTTTGTATATGCTTGTGATGTATTTACATCTTCTCGTCAGTTAATGTGTAGTATTTTTCAGATGCCTTGACGAAAATTCTCATATTTTGGGAGAGCTTATTACTTTAAGAAAAAAGGTAAAATAAAAGTATTGAAATAAAATTCAGCTTTTAATTTATCAGTTATTCATTGCTAATTTTGTATAGTGTATATTTACAAGTAAATTTGAAATCAGTAACCAGTTTGTGTGACATTACTAATTGAATTTCCTGGCAAGTGGAATCTTATACACTATTTCTTGAAATTGCTACATGTTATTAGCATGCAATATTATTAATAAATAAATTCCACGACACACAAATCAGTTCTGATAAATATATTAATTTTCAAAAATCAGTTCAAAAGAAATCAGAAAATCTTGAGTCACTTTTAGCTTAAAATTGTTCCTTAATCTTCTAATTGGATCCGGCTTATTATTTTTTGCAGACTGTTAGAGCAATTTTATAAAAGCCTAAGGATCTATGAAGCGAAAGCATGTTTTGTGCAAATTTACTTTGTAAATTGGTCACTGGCTTACTTCTGTGACTGTTATAAATAGTTAATAAGATCTATAAAGTTATTCAAAATCTGTTTTTTTTTTTTTTTTTATTTTTTTATTTATTCATTTAATTACAGTGATTCATACAGTAGTATATGCCAAAGTTGAGTGTTGTCCTGTATAGTACTTTTAAGGGAAAATGGCTCATATCCACATTACATATGGGAAAAGAAAAAAAAAACTAATGCAGCCAGCAGGTTCACTGGTATTTGAACCCCATACTGAACTACCAGTATTCAGCAACTGGTAGACTTTGATCATGTGTTTTGCACATATCGTGCAAAGCATTATGTCTATTTTGAAGGTAATGGGAAGAGTAAACTCTCAGATAAAATGATCTATTTCTTTTAATGAAAATTTTTCTAAAATTATCAAGGATATTGAGGCATATTTTAGTTAGTTCTACATTATTGTAATTTTTAATTTCAAAGGCCATATACTCTTGATGAACTTGAGTTTAAATGCTGGATAATATTGTTTTGGGAGACAAAAGATGTTTTTCAAAGAAATGACAAAAACTATTCAAATACATATTAGACTCATTCACTGTTCATTTTGTAATGAATACACAGTTCATCAATAGTTAATTTTTGGATTTATTTTTTTAAATACAGTCAAAAGTCTTTAATCCGGACGTCCATAATACGGAATGATCTATAATCCGGACCTCAAAGCTACAAACTTTCTGTGCATGCATCAATGCAGTTAATGTTGCGGATTGCATTGTTCCTTAATCTTCTAATTGGATCCGGCTTATTATTTTTTGCAGACTGTTAGAGCAATTTTATAAAAGCCTAAGGATCTATGAAGCGAAAGCATGTTTTGATGTCCATCAAACAAAAAGTGGAATTGCTGCAAAAAATGGATAAAGGCATATCCTTTGTTTCTGTAACCATTCTGAAATCTAGTTATCAATTTCACGCTGCTCTGCGGGGGGGGGGGGACGTCACGGTGCGCAATGAACTGGAAGTTGATCTGTCAGCAATATCCTTATCTTCAGGGCAGATGTTTTTATTTTATTCGGCTTATAATTCCTTACTAAATTTAGTATTTCATCTTGAAGTACTCCGTCTTTGATATGATTTAAATCAAATTCCTTGTCATTATAAATATCACGAATACACATCAAATAGTTTTCTGGTTGCATTTTTCTAATTTCGACTGTGGTAATGTATGCTTTACGCATGTGCACGTTGAAGGAAATGTTTAATAAAGTAAACAAATAAATATTAAGATTTTTTTTTGGAAATTTTGATACCCTTTAGATTATAATTGCTCTTTATTTCATAAATTATGGTTTCATATTTTTAATTTTATAATTTCTGCATGCCATCTTACCAGATTTAAACTGATGATCTATAATCCGGAAAAACCGATAATCAGGTATCGCAGAAATCCCGACGAGTCCGGATTAAAGACTTTTGACTGTAAAATTTTTGAATTGGAGATAATATGATAAGTATTACAATTTGAACATTGTCAATCATTGAGATATCAAATTATTATTATTATTTAAATGATAAGGGAGGGACACCATGTTATTAATATTAACAAAATAATTATATACCTGCAACTAGCTTATTTCACTTAGGATTAACCATAAAATTATAATGCTCTTTTTAAGATGATGTTAATAATAACCACAAAGTTTTACAAAGATAGTTATTGAGCATGCATCTGCAAATTTTATATTTTTATTATATACATACATAAGTTTTGCATGCATAGTTACTATATATAAATTTTATGCAATTTTTTTATAGATTTAAAAGTGTATAAGAAAATATAACATATATAAACTTAACTATATATTAAGTAAAGATGTGCCATAATGTGTATTCCTATTTTAGTATACTTCATTCAGATGTATGATTATTTCTAACATTGATAATATATGCATTCTAGAGTAAATTCCAAAATGAAGATTCAATGCTGAATAATTGTTATCCACTAAAATTCTTTATTCTTTATCTTTATTCTGGCTAATACAGGTTATGCTGAAGTGATATTTTTGTGTAAACCATTTATAAAATAATTGGCTTATCAGCTGTTTCTTTCAACATTTTGACCTGAAGATGTAAGAAAAAAAATAATTTGTTATGATATTAATGAATGACTATGTATATTACTTAGCATGCTTATGAATTAAAATTAAATTAATTTTTTTTATAAAATTTAGAATCTCTCCCCCAGGTATGGATTCATTATAAACAAGATTTTAATAACTTTTTCTGTATAGGTAAAGACTGGCTTCATTTTGTATACTTAAGTTTTTTATTTAAAATTCTTAGCTTTTAATATTGTAAGAACATATTTTCCTTTAGTGTATTTGACTTAATATAGAGGAAAACATTATTTAGCTTTTTAAGAGAATATCTTTTTTTAGCAGTAATCTTGTTTATGATAGTTTTAAGATATTTTATTTCTTCAAATTTTTAGTTACATTATGTAATTTATATGTGCATTAGTACATAAAACATTTTTTGTACATGCCTTAAAAATGTATTGGTTTTCTCTTGAGAATTTTTAATTGAATAATTTTTATGAATTTTTTTCTTCCAAAATTTAGACTCGTGCAATTGTGCATTGTTTACTACTAGTATATGAACTTGGATCCTGCATTAAACAATGCATGATTTCATAAGCCTAGGTTTTCTAACATGCTATATCATCAGCATGCTAAATTCTATGTTACATATCTATTTATAGAATAAACTTTGAAACATTATTATTCTCTAAATCTGTTTTCTCAAATATCTAGCATTCTGATTTGCTTGGATATTCTAATCATGCTTCATTCATCGCTGAGCTGCGAATGTCTAAAACAGCTGAAAATATCTACAAGTTTTTGAAAGAATTGCAGCATAAACTTACTCCTTTGTGGAATGAGGAAAGGAAATCTATGCTAGAGCTAAAAGAAAAAGAGGTAATGTCGATAGTTTATTAATCTGAGTATGCTTTGAAATGGATGCACATCACATATGTATGCTGGTGTGTATATGAAGCAAGACATATTTAAATTTAAAACTATGTTTTCTTCTTTTTTATGCTTTTGTATGTTTCATATTATGTGCAAGAGTATGGTATGCAAGATTATAATAGCTCACTAATAAGACTCTTGAATTTTTGGAAACTTGAGACTAAGTTTTAATCTAATCAAATTTTATTTGGATATGATTCTACCTACCTCGGTATGTACATTTATTAGAACATTTAGTGTAAATGGCCATTTTATAGCCAACCTATTTGATTGATAAAACTTTTGGATAGACCATTTTTTCTTGAACATTTGTCAGAAGTGACAGAATTTATCAATTATTTATCTTTCTCATCACTGAAATGATTGCCCTGATTACCACAGAAGGTAGACCGATTTCAGAATTATGGGGTTAAAAAGTACTTAAAAATATCCAAATCTTGCTCTAGATTCAAACTCATCCTGAAATTTAGACTAGCAGTCAGCCTCTATTAACCATAACATCACTCACAGAATAACAATGTAACTTAACAGCTATCTATATTCAATGATTTAATGCACTCATTTTCCTGCTGCTTATATTAAATATAAAGCATTTTTTATGAGATGTTTGAAACTCGAAAAAAGTATTTTTCTGAGATCTTTAAAAATATTTTTTTGTACATCCACTCTGAGTCTTTCAGCCATGCTCTGCTTTGCAATGTAATATAACTAGGAAATACCATTAAGAGAAGTATCCCTAATGTCACTGCCTTTTAATTCATAAAATCTAGCAAGACGCTGTAAATAATTATTGCATACTACAGAAGTTAACAATCCAGGTTTATTCAGATGTTGCTGACCGCAGAAAGCAGAAGCAGGTTACAGCAAAACTTATAAATGTAACGGGTGGCCATAATTAAACTGACAGTGCTCACAGTGTTCTGTAGCGTGATCTATTTGCGAGAATGACGCCACATTTTGTAGGAAGATTAAAGAAGACAGGGGATGAAGGATTCCGCGAAAAAAAAAATTAGTTTCAAAAGTCACCGCTAGGGGAATGTTTGCTGCTGTGTAATAGAAAATAGAGTGTTAACAAATGCAAATCAATACGGAAATAACCTTTTATTTTGCATTCAAATGAGTTTCAGTGTGGCTGCTGTTGTTGTGGACCACATATTGCATTCTGTGCACAGTATGCACAACAGCAGAAAATAACATGTCTGCAGGAATCTCCCGTACAGTCCGTGATATGTTATCCTTCAACATAGCCAGGTCCTGGATCAATCCTTGATAGATCTCGGACTTAAAGTAACTCCATAGCCAGAAGTCGCATGGGGTAAGATCAGGCAACCGAGGTGGCCATGCAGTTGGAAAGTAGCGGCTAATGACTCTTTCTGTTGTGAATTTCTGTCGTAGCATCTGTTGCACCCATACAGCAACATGTGGAGTGCATAAAAATGATTTTCCCCAGGCATTATCTTTGCTGAAGTGCCAGAATGACAAAGCTGTTCAACATGTGGCGATATTTCTCTCCGGTAACAGAACAGGTTTCCGGTCCTGTCGGGTAAAGTTCTCATAGAAGAATGTACCTAGAATATTCCGCTGTGAACCCACACCAAACAGTACCTTCAATGAATATAAGGGAATTGCTGTGACTGCGTGTGGTGATTTGTCATCCTAAATTCGGCAGTTCTGGGTTTTCACAGTTCCATTCATGTAAAAGTGAGCCTCGTCTCCCCATAAGATTTTCCATGGCCAAGCATCATCCACCTCCATTCTTGCAAGAAAGGTGAGAGCAAAAGTCAATCGCTTATCATGGTCAGGGTACAGTATCTCCTGTACACGGCTGATCTTGTACGGATAAAAGTTGATAATCTTTCGTAAGATTTTCCATACCGTACTGTAAGGCATATCCATATTCCATAAGGCATATCCATAATAAAAGGTAATTTTATTCTGTATTAATTTGCATTTGTTAACACTCTATTTTCTATTACACAGCACCAAATATTCCCCTAGTGGTGACTTTTAGAACTAATTTTTTTTTTTTTTCCCGCGGAATCCGTCCTTTGTCTTGTTTAATCTTCCTACAAAATGTGGCGTCATTCTTGCAAATAGATCGCGCTACAGAACACTGTGAGCACTGTCAGTTTAATTATGGCCACCCGGTATATCCTATGCTTTACTGTTGAAAGACATTCCCAACTTGTTTCAGCAATAATGTTCTGATAATGGAGGTGCATCAGTAGACTGAATTTACAGCCTGTGACTGTGTAATAGTTTGTGTAGAAAGAAGAGAATTTGGTGGGGGATGATATAAGAAGGGCCATTTAAGAAGTTTATCAGTAGCCACATTATCTGCAGTTCCACAATTGCCACACATTTTTTCTAAAGCATATAAAAAAAGTTAATCTTTTTTATTTCTGTATTAAAGTTTCATATATGATATTGATGAATATTATTTTTTTATTCAAAAGATTTTGTTACTAATTTTCTTGTATGTATAATGCATATTTTAACTTATTTATGCTGTTAATTTTATTGAGTAGTAATCTTTAGACTTAGAGTAGTAATAAAAATATAACTTAAATTTGTAACCTGTATATTAACTATCATTAAATTATTTTAGTGAGTACAGAAAGTATTCTAACCGGATAAAGGTGCTTAATTATTATTCTTATTTCTTACAGTGCAGTGATTTGGACATTTCCTTTGATGGCAAATTAAATCCATGGGACTTACTTTACTACTCTACAAAAGTTGTAGAAACAAAGTATAATGTAGATAAAGAAAAGCTGAAGGAATATTTTCCTCTCTCTGTTGTTACTAAAGGCTTGCTAGAAATTTATCAAGTAGACATATATCTGTTTATTCAATTATTTTCAAAATTTATTAATTTCATTCTCATTTTGGATTGAATTTATTGAAGATTTAAACTTAGAGTGTTTGACATAGCCAATCTTCATCATTTCCTTGTTCGATATGTGTTATATACCAAATTTTTATTCTTACCCTGTCATGTATTTCTGTATGAAGGTAATCTATGGGAGCAGTACACATCAACTGCCTAATAAAACCAACTTTTCTCCTTTCCCTATTTATTATATGTACATTTGATATACAAATTTAAACATTTCCATATCATACATGTATAACAAACCAAGCTATCATTCTTTTTGTTAATCATATATTCGTATATGATTATTTGGTGCATGGAAGTGATACATAAAATGAGTGAGTAAATGGTCATCCTTTAAACTGTTATCACATCTACAAGATAACTTCAACAGAGAGTCTAAAAAGACATTCCCCAGAATTTTTATTTTTGATATATATCATTGGTTGACCTAGCCAAAAATCAGTTTCTTTGAAGAAATTGCTTGAGGGACAGCACTTCAAATGAAACATTTTCAGTTCAGTTTCAAAAAGTCTTGCATAGCTCGGCAGGATACAGCTTACAGCAAAAGAAGTTTGGTAAGGCTAGGTACCCACCAATGATAAATAATGGACAAACCCAGTTTGGCTAGCCTCACCTGTCGATAGCTGTGATGACCCCCATTATTTATCACATGAAACATGTTATGTTTCTGTAATGCAAAGAAAAAACGTTTTGCAAGGAAATTAATTCTACTGCATTTTTTTTTTTTTTTTTAAATAGCTTCTGTAATGAAAACTATTCTGCTGATAGTATCTCTTACATTCAACAGTCCTTGGACATTGCTAAACCTACGTAAACGTACCACTTTTCACAACAAAAATTCATCGAACAACAGCAGTTGCTTCTGAGCTACTCAAGTGGCGTCATCTGTTGATAGCTGGGAGGAAGTCCTAAGCATGCATCTCATTGGAAAAACTGAGGAGAGAAGTCAGCTGACCTCATTCTGCAAATCGTCATCATGGAATTTGAAAATCCACACTTATATTCATTTAAAAAAAATATTTACCAAGTCTAGTGCATATTGAAGATTTTACAAAGGTGAATTAACTTTATATTAAGAGTTAAAGTCTCTAAAATTCTGCACAAGATTTTTTTCAAAATGAGACCTAAATCTTTAATGATCTTAAAACAAGAGTTCTGGTTTAATCTGTTGGTCTGAGGAGAAAAATCATTAGGAGCTGGCTGTTTCAGGAGCAAGAATGGTGGATAAATATCGCTTCTCATTAAAAAAAAAAAAAAAAAAAAGAGTATGGGTGGTTTTTTTTTTTTTTTTTTTTTTTTTTTTTTTTTTTTTTTTTTTTCCATTATTATTTATTTTAATGTGTCTGTTACTGGGGTGGAATGGACACTTGGTCAAAGTAACCAAGTAATCTGACTTATACTTTATGCAAGTTGGGTGTTGGGTTTATTGTCTCTTAGGAGCTTGCAAGTATAAGATAAATTGTCATGGGAGCAGTATAATCATCTTGGGTTATTACGACAGCCAGTCTGTTTGTGCCCAAAGTGCTGACGTTTATAGCTGATTTTCGAATGTTCCCCATATCTGTACTTCTTGATGTTTGCTGAGAGGGACAGAAATAATCTGCCATGATAGGTCTTGTTACTTTGATCTCAGAGTTTAAGCTCTCAAAAGAAAATTAATTACATGTGAATAAGTTTATGTGTGTTTAATACAAGCGGCATTATCACTTGTTTCTAGGTTTTATGCTTGCACAAAATGTAGATATGTAGATATTTACCACAGAAATCTGGTACATGAAATCCAGGATTCCACGATAATTGAGGATACAAAAAAAGATTAATGTTTATTATTAATTATTGTTTTAATGAATAGACTTGAGAAGAATATAAAGTATGACACAGGGCTAACAGCTACAACAAAAATCACTAAAAAATTATAAACAGAACTAAATATTATTTCTTAGAATATTGAACTGATTGAAGAATTGTTTTCTGTTTTAACAGAGAAAGAACAAAATTTGTTAGAATCAAATAAAGAAATAAAAGAGGATATATCAGATGTGAGTCAATTAGAAAAGGGCATTATGTGTACTGAAAATTATAAAGAAAAGCTTTCAATTTGCAAAACATGGATAAAGTGATATCTCAGAAAGGTAAATGAAAATGAAGTGCAGGCTAGTTCTATGCATTCTAACTCTACAATATTGGGTGTGAATTTTGCTCAGGTTAAACTTCCATGTTTAGTAATCAAAAGATTTGATGGCAAAATACCTAGATGGCCAAAGTTCTGGACACAGTTTAAAACTACTATTCACCGTAATGAATCGCTAAATGATGTAGAAAAGTTTAATTATTTAAATACATATTTGACAGGTATTGCCAAAACTTCCATAAGAGATCTATCATTGAGAATTCAGAAAACTATAACAAGACAATCAAGATTTTAAAGTTACACTTTGGTAGAAAAGAATACATATAGACATCAGTATGTCTAGAATACTCAGTGTGAGGCCATGTAGGTATTTGAAACAAATAACATCATTAAGAATTTACCCATTAATATCTAAATACGAGCTTCAGCCAGCATTGGCATTAAGCCAAACTCTTATGGAGCACAGCGTGTCCCCATTTTAATGAGAGTGTTGCCAACGGATGTAGCTTTAGAATTTAACCCACTGCATGATGTCAAATAAAATAAAGGATTTATGAAACTTTTTAAGAAAAAAAATCAAATCTAGAGAATGTACATTTCTTTTAACTAAACAATGGATTCTGATAATATTTATTCAAAAAATACAGATAAATATATTTGCACTAACAAACAAATTCAAGATAAAGTTTGTATCATAGGAAAATAAAAATAACAATAAAAAAAAAAAAAAAAAGGTCAACAGCTGTAGCCTTAAACACACTTGTTGAAAATTTAAGTCTTTTTTGTGATAAAGTAATGGATGATTTATCAGATGATTGTGATAAATTTAACATAGTGCAAAAGAAGATTTCTGAAGAAAGGGAAAAAAAAAAAAAAAAAAGGTATGTTTCTTGTGTTTGTAAAAAGTTCTATACTAAACAATTATGCAGCATTATGGTTGAATGTAATGCATTTCATAAAAGGCAACAGCGTAAAAGGGTTTTTGTGAAAAGGCTTATCCAATTATAAATGATTCTTTATGTGAACAGGCTAATTCTATTAATAACTCTGAAACAGTATTGACTTCAGTAATGTCAGAAAAGAAAGAAATTACAAATGGTAAACAAATTGTTTCTCGACAAACATTTTGGGCCATTGTTTTTGGCACAGGAATCAAAATGAAAGTTCATTTACTTGATTGAAGAAGTCAACAAATATTTAGTCCTGAAAATTTATCAAAGAAATTAAACATGCCTATAATTGGTAAAGAAAAAATAAGTTACATGCTTTTGGGGAAAATACTGCAGTGACTACAAGTTAAATTCCAGTTATGTAACATCGAAAACAAAAGTAAATGTTTCACTATTGAAGCATTAGAATCACCAGAAATTTGTGATACTTTAATAGAAATTTTTAGCCAAGAAATGAATAACCATATCCAATCTTTAAATATTGAATTATCTGATTATGAAGATGGTGAATGTAATCATCATAAAATTGACATTCTAATTGGATCAGATTATTTTTGGAAAATAGTTTATGGTAAAACAAAACATTTAATTTCATCAATGATATTAATAGATGCACTGATGGGATGGTCAATTCAAGTTCCATCATCCGTTGGAGTTTTAAGAGCTGTCCTTATGATGGATTTTGATGAGGGTGAGTTAATGTTGTCTAAGTTAAAAACATTTTGGGAATTAATATCCCTAGGTATTCATGACTTCTTAAAACTTTTCACTTCTAATGAAGAAGCTCTTCGAAGTTTCAAATCGAATTTGACTTTTAAAGAAGGCCATTAAGAATTGCAGCTTCCTTAGAAACATAATTGTGATAATTTAGAAAATAATTATTATAATGCTAAGAAAATACTCGTTTCATTAATTTAAAAATTTTTATGAGGATCCAGCCTATGCTGACTATAAATCCATGATAGAAGAATGCTATAAGTTGGGAATCGTAGAATTCAGTAACTGAACAAAATGATACAGGTCAGAATCTGATATATTATTTAACACATCATGTAATTCGAGATGATAAGAATACAGCAAAATTAAGGATTGTTTTTTATGTTTCTTCACATGCTCATCATGCTCAACAAATTGTTACATCCTGAACTGAGCTTAAACCCAGCTCTTAGAACTTATACTTAAATTTTGAATTTATCGAATTGCACTCACTTCTGTTATTGAGAAAGCATTTCTACAAATTAGTTTAGTAGAGACTGATCGTGATATATTGTACATTTTTTTTTTTTTTTTTTTTTTTTTTTTTGTGGATAGTTGGTTTACCAGATAATGTATCTGATATTGAACCAAAAATTCTATAGATTAGAGTCCTGTCTGGCATTACTTCCAGTGTCTTTCTTTTAGCTGCTGTAGTTAAATTCCACTTGAAGCAATATTTCACTATTTGTCTGGATACTTATTTGATGTTAAATGAATCGATATTACATCAGCAATTCATTCTCAGGAGCTCTGAATGAAGAAGAAGCTTTCAGAAGTTCTAAAGAAGCAAACTACATAGGAGGATTGAAACTTTGAAAATGGAGACCTAATTTTGTAGAGCTTGAAAACCTGTGGGCTCATTCTGACTTTAAAATTCATACATCAGACTATAGAGAGATTTCATCAAAAATATTGGGGATGATATGGGATATTCAAAAGGACAGTTTTAAATATGACATCAAAAACCTATTAAACTTTTGTTTTGATTTCTGATGATACTGAACATATAATAATAAGAACTGCAGGAAGAAAATTTGACCCAGCAGGTTTTCTTTCTCCCATTACTGTCAGATTGAAACTAATTTTCCAAGAACTGCGAGTACAAGGAATTCATTGGAATGCAGAATTACCTCAAGAACTAAAGGAAATCTGGAAGGGCTAGTGCTCCGAAGTAGGATTTCTGAAGGAATTTTCATTTGCAAGGAAATACTTTATGATGAACATGGAGATGATTGAAGATACATTGCAGTTACACATATGTTTTATGATGCAAGCCATAGAACTTATGGTGCAGTAGTGTATCTCAGATTTCGAGAAGAAAGGAACATCAGCACTAGTTTTGTGATGGCTATAACCAGAGCTTCTCCTATGAAGAAACTGACACTTTTGAGATTAAAACTAATGAGTGCAGTGATTGCAGCCAGAATTGCTGATTACCTAAAAGATGTATTCCAAAGTGAGCAATATTTTACTTTGGTCAGACTTTTCCATTACATTGCACTGGATAAAAAGAACAGTGAAGAACTGGAAACAATTGGTGTCCAACAGAGTAGCTGAAATAAAACACTGTAACCAATCCTCAAGATTGGAATCATTGTAAAAGAATGGACAACCCAGCAGATATGCTCGTGAAAGGAAAAAAAAGTTTCGAAATTAATGAAAGACATTAAGTGTTGGCAAGATCCTTCATGGCTAATGTTACCAGATTATTTATGGTCTCGAAGCAATTTGAGTGAAGTTGATTCAGAGGACTTGAAAACTGAAAGGAAAACTACAGTGCAATTTGCATGTAATGACACATCAATATTAGAACCAGTTCTTGATATAGAAATTTATAATAAATTGTCAAGATTGTATCGAATTACAGTTTGGATAAAATGCTTTGTACATAATGCAAGAGCATTTGGTGAGAAGAAAGAAGATTTTTTAGCAGCTTTGGAACTGTCAGAAGCAGAAATTTATTGGGTGAAAGCTATCTAATCAAAGCATTTTGAAGAAGAAAGAACTCAATTGGTTAATGATCAGCCAGTTGCAAACATATGGAAACTTATTGAGTTCGATCCAGCATTGGATGAAAACAAACCAATATGTATAAAGGGAAGACTATAATTTTCAAAATGTGAAATGAAAGAAAAAAATCTCATGGTTAATTCCTGGAGGAAACAAATATGCAGAACTCTTAATGATGATTACATAATATTTCTTAATTTCATAATTTCTCGTTACTCTTATCATTTTTAACTTCTCATAATATTTCATTCTTGATGATTACATAATATTTCTATCCTATAATATTTTGTGTGCCCTTTTCTTTTTTTCCCTCCCCCTGTGTTTTACATGTGTTAGAAAATTTTGTTTTAAAGTGTTAAGCTTAACATAAAGAAAGATGTAACATTTTGACATTTTGTAATGATTATGTATAAAATATTTCTATTGAACCAGCTCAGTACTCCTATTGGGGAAAGGTATGCTTAAAATCCTCTTTCATGTATCTAAGTATAAATTTATTTAAAGCACTTAAACTAAAGTCAGATTTCTGGTGGCAGGATATTTGGTTAAACATATTTTTAAGTGAGGAGGTTTCTTTTTTTTTTTTTTTTTTTAACCTTTACCTTGTTTTATTTACTTGTTTCCAAAAATGTATTTAATCAAAATTATGAGAACAAAATTTCTTTTGTAAAATTGCATATTTCCTTTACTTTTATTGATTTTTAAAAAGTTTGCCAAAATTTTTTTTATTCATAATTATATTTGAAATAGGAATTACTTGGCTTAAAATTCAAAGAAATAAAGAATGCTGAAGTGTGGGCAGAAGATGTACAGTTGGTGAGTCGTCATCTTCCTTTTTTTTTTCCCCCCTCTTTCATTTTTAAATTGCTTATTTAGTTTTCTTGTTTCTTGTTATTTAAAAGCATCACTGAAATGTTTCTCCCCATGACTGCTGTATTACAGAGATTTATCTCTTAAGCCTTTTGTGTGTTAAAATGGCAATCAAGCATTTCACTTTTTCCAGTAATGTAAATAACCATTTGTACTCTAACCAGCTATTTAAGGGGAACATAAGAAAACTGTTTTTTAATTTGTGTACAAATTTCACTTTTAATATCATATAATTTAATTTAGCGATCTGTTTTCACTTTAATCAGAGGATTGCAGAAATTTTTGCACTGCTTTCATTAAACATTATATGTATAATATTCATGATATACAAATATTCTTTTCTTAAAGCTTTATTCATCGTTGTTTATTCATCAAGTTGCCATCATCTAGTCAGATTTTGCACCAATGTTTATCTTTGGCACTAAGTAGCACCCAGAGAGTAACAGAAGAGTACCATTTTTAATAGTGTAATATTTTGTAGAATTTAGAGGATTTGTTCACAAAAAACTGATCCAGTTGGTTTTTGAAAGCTCTATGTGCAGTCTGAGCCATATGATGGATGAATCAAAACATCCCAACCAAGTTTCAATTTTATTTTCTGAGTCTGCACCGAAGCATGTGGTCTTGCATTGCTATTTTGGCTCAGATTGAACCTTCTTTTGGCCATATCTGGTCTTTTCGTGATGTTTTTTCAGTTTGGCTAGTTGTGACCAGTACTTAGAAGAATCAGTAAAATTTTATTTAGTGACAGCAGCTCATAGTAACATCTCATTTCAGTTTCACCTTGTTTGAAGGACTTGCTTAGGATGCAAATGTAAATCAATCTTTGAACTTCATCTGTATTGGCTCCCATGCTTTGACTGCGATGTTTTACGATTAACACTCTTCTACAGAATTCACTTTTCATTGCCAATAATGAAATGTCTAAGTAACGATTAATTTTCATTCTTTTAGAAACAAATTGAAAAGAAAAATGCAGTATTCCTAAATGCAAATGTTGCAAAATCATAAATGGCACCAATATTTAGTAGCATCTCTTTAATCTCATGGGCTGTCGAATGATTATCACTATCATTATTAGCCTTTGTTTAAATCATATTTTTGATGACAGATCATCCAGCACCAGATGCATATTTAAAAATTTTATATTATATAAATTTTTTTCACTAGTTTGTGATATAATTTTTTCTTTTTAGTAGTTAGAAAAATATGATAAAAAATACTATTTATTTGCTCATATGCTTAAAATTTAGCAAGTTATGCTAGGACTCATTGATCACAATAGAACTTAATGATAACTGAAAGGTAACTTTCAAAATGATGCATTATTTTTTTAAAAAATGCTGTGTAATAAGTCTCGTGTACCAGAAATTTGTATATGTGATTGTGTAGATAAATAAATTTAAGTAAATTTTTATGATAAATTATTTAGCTTTCTTTGCAGTATGGAAGGAATATGCATTTTATATCTTTGGCTGTGTATTAAAAGTTAAAAACAAAATAAAAAAAATGTTTCATCATATTTTTGTGTTATTAAGATGCATGTTAGGCTTAAGAGATATTTTTTATAAATGAGTGTTCATTATATAAAAATATTTATTAAATGTTTAATTTAGTTGAATTATTATAAATTCTATCAAGAGCAATCATTTAATCTTCACTTATCTTGTCACTCTGACTGTCTGTAACATTATCTGAAAAATTGTTATTGCTCTCTTAGAAAATTAAATCATCTGCAGTAATATCTAATGCTTTACTCATACCATGTTTTTTAAAAGACTGTAGTTGTTTATTAACATTTCTTCGTGTTTATCCATGCACACCAAGTGAAATTGTGAATCTACAGAATTCCAAACTTTGCTTGAATTTTGTTAAATCCCAGACTTGTCACGTGTCGTATAACTTCAGCTTAAGACACACCAAACTCTGAACCAACTAATTTTTTAAGGATAAAAATGCATTTCATAATCTAAAAAATATAGTGTTATATCTTAATTTATAATCCATTGTGAATGTCTGAAGCAAACAGATTAACAATTCTCAATTGTTCTACTCTAATTTCTCTTACATATTATATGCACTTAATATATAACCTCTAGCTTTTTTAGCCCAAAGATATTGGCCCAGAAGAGCTATTTTGTTTTGGCATTTTGTGTTGCTTCACTATAAACATCGAATCATTTTTTAAATTTTTGCCACTAAATATTAGAGCCCTGTATTATATTTAAAGAAATTAAATAATGAAGAAGCTGCATAAATGCATGTATGTTTCTTGCACTGTGATAAAACAACAATACCTAGAGCCATCAAATTTTCAATAACACAATCTTCCACTGAATATGGGCATCTGAAAGCCCTAATTTGGAATTTGTTGTATTAACTATTTAATATTTTGTGAGACATTAAAGAATTTTTGTGATTAACAAACTCATCGATTTCAAAGTGAGCAATGGCAATACTGTATGGGGGAAAAATACATTTTTATCTCCAGCGTGCAAGACTGCATATCGGAAATTCTAAAGATATGCTCGTTTTAAAATTATTTTGCAATATTGCTGTTGAATTAATAAAGGTAACATACAAAACGTCCACAAAACACATCTTTGGGCATAATGTAAAACCTGAAAGCTTTCAGATTTTATTTATTTATTTTTTTCCTGCTATGTTTCAGTTTAGTGTTGCAGATGCTCATAATGGAACACTATTGGGATATTTCTTCCTAGATTTATTTCCCAGAGAAGGGAAATATACACATGCTGCTTTATTCGAATTGCAGGTAAATATTTAAACTTTTTTTTTTTTTTTTTTCTCTTCTCTAGTTTTTATCGAAATTGTAAAAAAAAATGCAGTATTTATCTTTATTGATGAAAATTTGTAGTAGGGTATGCTATTTTTTAAACAGTCATTCCTTTTTAGCCAGGTTGCCGTAATGCTGATGGTTCACGCCAAATTCCTATTGGTGCTATGGTTGCAAATTTCAGTAAACCTTTAGCAGATAAACCTTCTCTGCTAGATCATGAAGAGGTATAATTTGATAAATTCTTAACAATAATTGTGTTATTAAGTATAACAAATAATAACGGTATTTATATTTTGGTATTCCTTTTTTTTAAAGTAGCCTTTGGCAACATTTGAAATTTGCATATAAAATTGGGTGATTAAGTGTGCCAATTTTGCTGACTAAGCTTAGTGACCCCTTTAACAAGGAAGCAACTTAGTTTTTTAATTGTTTCTCCCTTAGGTTGAAACATATTTTCATGAATTTGGACATACCATGCATCATGTATGCGCTCGAGCAAATTTTGCAAAATTTAGGTAAGTTATTAATATTTAATTTAGAAGCCCAAAATATTTTGTTTTCTTGTGTTTTGCTATATAGCAGGTGAATAAATATAACATGCTTAAAATGGTCTAGTTATGTTTCTTCACATTTAAAGTATTCAATTTGTAACCTATTTTTAGCTCTTTCACACCAGGTGCATCATACATACGTTGGCAGCAAACATTACCTCATGGCCGGGTGTTTCATATATGAAAAATCATTTAAATTTATTCTGGGGCTGTATGCACTACATGTGAGTTTTTAGCTAGAATGTTTACTAATATTTTTTGCTGCCACTAGATCTCAGTTATGGCGAAATTTATTGAAAGGAAAGTATGTTGACCTTTATTCTTCTACAATGTTTTTTATTTTTGGTATTATTTTCAGAACCAGAGCGAGAATGATAGATGTTGACTTACGAACTGGCTTTTTAACTGGGTCAGTTAATATAAAAAATGCATATGTTTTCAGTGCTTTGGAAAATTCTTTGTAGTCCAAGGGAGCATTAGCTCAAAAGTGCTATTAATTTTATTTTGGCATTTTGTATTGGTTCACTATAAATGGCATTTCACTCTTCAAACTGTTGCCACCAAACATTAGAGCCGTGCATTATATTTAAAGAAATTAAATAATGAAGGATCTACATGTTTATAATGTAGTCCTTCATTCGAATATGGGCATCTGAAGCCCAAATATGGAATATATTTTATTACCTATTTCAAATTTTGTAAAACTTTAATGAATTTTTAATTAACAAATTCCACAATCTCAAAGCATTCCTTTAACATTAACATCACATGTATCTTCAAGCATGGATATTTTATTTGTAAGGTTTCTATTTTTATATATATATACAGTCAAAAGTAATTAATCTGGACTCGTCGGGACTTTGGCGATTCCGGATTATCCGTTTTTCCGGATTATAGATCATCAGTTTAAATCTAGTAAGATGGCATGCAGAAATTATAAAATTAAAAATATGAAACAGTAATTTATGAAATAAAGAGCAATTATGATCTATAGGGTATCAAAATTTACAAAAATCTTATATAACTTATAAACTTAAAAACGTCACTTATTAAATTGCAGCATACCATAAAAGCTGTTCTCAGCAACTTTCGTTTTGCTTTCAAAACTTTTACATCCATATTTCATCCAGAAATATAAAGTCGCAGACGCCAAATTTACTAGGTTGCAACTCTCAGGGATATAACATGCAGGTTACAAATTAAATAATCACAGCAGGGATTATTAATATAAAGATTTAATATGGATATCTCACAAAGCTAAAAAACGTTACATTACTCTATCAAGTGCATACATATAACTGAGTTAAAAGGGAATTTCCCCGCTTAGTTCGCAGTTAAAAAAAAAAAATAAATAAGAATAATAAAAAATAGTCCAATCAGATGCGGAGCTCCGTGTGTTGACCTTCGCCGATCCGTTACATAATCGTCTGTTGTCTGCAGCAGCCATCTCCAACACTTTCGCCTTGTGGATCCTTTACATATTAGTAAATATATATCGGAAATTCTATTTGACATAATCAAAAGTTTAAGCTTACTTTTATAAAATTGCTCTAACAGTCTACAAAAAATAATAAGCTGGATCCAATTCGAAGATTAAGGAACAACGCAATCTGCAACATTAACTCAATTAGATAATTTTAGCTTAGCTTATACTGTTCGTTATACGTTAAACACGCATGGGCACATTCATATTCACAGCCGTAAAGGTGTTACGCACATGCATAAACGCCTATGCACAACGCATGCGCAGAAAGTTTGTAGCTTTGAGGTCTGGATTATAGATCATTCCGGATTATGGGTGTCCGAATTAATGACTTTTGACTGTATATATATGTAAAATAAAAAAAAAATTACGATGGCTTTGCTCTTTGCGAACCAACAACCTTTAATTAATTTTCTGTAGAACATTCGCGCCTATTACATAACCTCCTCATATAAATGCTGCATCATAAGTTTTTCTACATTTTTCTAGAAGCTACTCTGTTACATAACCTTTCATATAAATACTGCGTCATAAGTTCTCCTACACAGATGCCTTCTCGCCTTCGTCCTGCTAACGCTTCCGCTATGCTCCTCTTTCTTTGTTAGAACGTTATGACGTATTAAAGTTTAAAGTCAGTCGTATCTAATAGTTCAATTGCTGAATAAGTTATTTGATTAACTCCATCTGGAAAAAGTCATCTGCTCTAAATTAAAATAACGATGTGCTTGCTGTTAAAAGTGTAAAGTCCTGAGTCGTCATTTTTCTCCGTGCTTCAATCATCCCAGCTTCTTGAACCATCTGCCAGAACATGTAATGGAATAGCCTCACCATTCGCCCATGATGTGTTGGAATAACTGAAAACATTACATATATATATATATTGCTGTTGAACTGAATTTTATAGTTTAAGTGCAAAGAACATGTTATTTAATATATTAACACACAAAACATTAAAAAAAATTTGCCCTTTTGGGTATAATATAAAATCTGAAAGCTTTCAGATTTTATTTTATTTATTTATTATTATTATTATTGTGTGTGCTTATGTGTGTGATAGAGCGGGGTAGATGTTCTATCATTTTAGTGGTTTTATTTATTCCTCATAGACTTTTCTTGCATTGAGGTGGAGTGTTTTTATCGTTTTCACAAATATTTTTTACATCTAAGCAAAATGAAATTGTTACAGAAGAAGAGTATACATGAATGATAAATGAGTCTTTTTTTGAGACTGATGATAAAGATGATATTTTTTTAAGAATTGGAAAGTGATAGTAATAGTAATTCTAATGCAGGCATGATTATTTGTTTATATATGTATTTTTATTTGAGGTTAAGACAAAAATTATATATGTTGGATTTTTATGAAAAGATTTTTTATAATTTATATTTTTATTAATATTTTGTGTTGAATATAATATGTGATCATCTGTATTTTTCCCCCTGTATATTACCTTGAAGTTTTAAGGAAAATATAACGGTAAAGTTTTAAAATTATTCCTGATAACTACCTGAGTGCTTCTCTCATACTATACCAAAAATTTTTGAACAATTGGACTACAAATTTATGTGAATTTTTCCCTCCCAAAGGTATGCTTAAGAATGGGATCTGCCCATCCCCACAAGACAATGCATCCTGTTAGCGTGCTGTCCTGAGAGAGCTATTCAGTGACTGAGGTGCCAGTCAAGAACAGATTAAACAGTGTCATTTCATGTGTCAAGATCAATTCTGTGTATTAATTAATTCACTCGTCTTATATTGGCAGCCCACAGCTACCAGAACTGTTTATTAGGCTGCAATGTATGAAAATTAATTAAAATTATGATAATTAACTGAAAATTAATTAAAATTATGACATTAACTGCATCATCAGATATGAAATGGGCTATATGTCAAAAGTAAAATTTTACAAGACTAATAAACTAACTATCCCACTCTCCACAAGAATGTCAGAAGTCAACAACAAAAAATTATGACATTGATATAACTAGGATCCATGTAATCTAGTGTTATTTAAACAGTTTAGTTTTTCATGGCCCCATCCCAATAAGATTTTTAAAAAATTACATGTATCTCCTTTTAAAGCTTTTAAAGCTTGCAACATTTTTTCTTCCCAGATTGGGCAGAAAATTGGTCAATTATCAATGAAGTGGTGTAGAAACTCACTATAATGGCCTAATTCGAAATATGTACACTGTGGCGAAAAAAGTGACAGATCTTTATCTTCCGTTCTATTGGGCCGATTGACAAAATTCAACTTTCTTTTTTCATGTCTCGAGTGTGTGACTTAGGATATGTATTACATTTATATAATAGCATTGTTAATTAGATTTATATATAGCATTGTTCTATTTAGACATAGCATATTTTGACACAAAATCAGACTTTTTCTGAAACAACATGCCGAATTTTTTTTTTTTTTTTCTTCCCCATGTTTTGATTCTATGGCTCAAGTTATACCTAAATAGGATTTTTTTTTTTTTTTTTTTTTTTTTTTTTGTACAATTTGCTGCGAAATTTACAGAGAAATTCAAAAATTTATCTTGGCAGACTTTTTTTTCAGTTTGCACCAAAAAATAATTCACTTGGCAAACTTTTTAATATATGGCAACCTATTTTCCTTTCCCTTCCATTGTGCAGCAGTACAAAAAAGTTACATCATTCCTAACTTTTTACTTTGTACATGAACGGAAAAAAAGTCACAGTGTTCCTTCTTTCAAATAATTTTAACGGAGTGCCTAAACCACATTTGATGTTAAACTGATTTTTTGCAGGTATGCTTAGAAATGCATCTACTTTAAGATGATGGTAAAAATTTTATAGATTATAGTTCAAAACTTTTTTCGAAAAATTTATAAAAGTTATTTAAAAATACCGGCTACTAAACAACTGCCCAATGAGAATGTGGATCACAGACTAACAAACAAGTCCATGAAGGAAGAGGGTGTGTGATGAGTCATGAACTATATTGGGGGGTAAAAATGCCTCATGTGAGTATACACGTATCCGCTTTTATTTTATCTGTTAGGCTTTGGGCTGAGAATCTAATTTTTACACAGTGTGTATGTTGTAATATTGCATTTTTGAAAAAACCTCTTTTTACATTTACCAATTCAATTATTATGGCAAGAATTTAAAGAAAGATTTAGCATTTTAATGATTTGAGTCCAATTTTCCATTATTTTCTTTATCATTAAAAGTGAAAATAAGTAACACCCCCCGGAAGTCTACAAAAGGAGATAAATTTGATTTTACAGGATTCAAAAATATGGTTTTAAACCTGAATTTTTTTGGAATAAGAATAATCGCTTTGTTTGGAAATACATTTATTTTTATGTGAATAGTTTTTCCGCAGTTGAAAATCACCTATGAGGCTAAACGATGAGCATGTATGTATAATTAATGATAAAGAAAGTTTCTAGAAATTTTTCTTCAGGGTTACAAAATTTATCAAAATCAAAATATCATGAGGTCTTGCAGCTGAAAGTTGTATTAAGAAATTTAAAAATATGTATATAATGATTTACATGCAAATGTATGTGTGTTTTCTGTATGCATCAAAGAAAAATTTAATGAATAAAAGGAAGATAGTAGATTGTCATTATTTATTCTCAGGTTTTGTCTCACTCGGAAAGTTTTCATAATTTGTTTTGTTAATTTAAAACTAATTTATTTATTGGTTAATTCAACATATTGGAATTATTTAAAATAAATGATTGTCTCAAAATTTAATATTTAGCTATCAATATCTATGAATTACAGAGTGTAACCAACAAAAATTTCTTTCAGATACCAAGTTTAAGATGTCAGACAAAAAATAAATATAAATTGGAATTTATTTTCTTTTGTATCATTATTATTACTGTTTATGCATGTTTTGACAAATATTGAGTGAAATTTTAAAACAAGAATTTATTTTTTAAAAAATTTCATTTTGGCAAAAGAAGTAAAAAATTAGTATAAAATAAACTGACCCATAAGCTGCTTTCAGGCCATGCATTTGCATCGACATGCAATTTGAGTTTGAAACCACTGAATTAAGGAAACAAAACAAAACAAAACAAAAAGTAAATAAATACAGCTTTTCCTGTCTTCACTGTCATTTGTTTTCCTCTTTACTTTCTAATTACTGTAAATTATTTTATTTCATTACTGAACCTTGTTACTATATGAACAAAACATTTTTGCTGTAAGATATTTTTATTTCCATACAGTGGTACAAATGTGGAAAGAGATTTTGTTGAAGCTCCATCACAGATGCTTGAAAACTGGTGCTGGGAAATAGAACCACTTAAAAGAATGTCTTCTCATTATGCTGATAAAAGTGAAATACCTAAAGATTTAATAAATGCCTTACTTAAATCTCGTCTTGCTAACACAGGTTATCGTAATTTACGGCAGATTGTATTAGCAATGTTTGATCACAAGATTTATACAAATCCAGAGGTAAGGATTGCTTTATAAAATAATAGTAAACATATCTTAGAAACTCTTCTTCAGAAGTTTTTAAAATATTTTGATACTTATTAATCAGCACCTACTGATACATTGCGAATGATCTATCAGCTGCATTTCCCAAAGAAGTACATTTTTGACAGGAAAAGATCAAGTAAACAGATTTTCTGATCTGCAGAAGGTACTTCGGGAATCAAATTCAAAATCACATCAATCTCCTTGGGTTGTTTCTGGTAACATGAAAGTCTATTGAAAAAAAGGGGGGGCAAGTGATTTCCTTTGAACTAATTTGTGATTCTTATCCAAACAATTTGCCAGCAATTGTAAACATCACACTTCTATCATACATCTTCCATCATTTACAGTTTCATTGCATGAGTACTGGAACACTCACATTTTTTTGGTAAAACACTATATGCCTGGCAGTAATGGATTGCTTCTGCATTGTTTCTTGGAAAATCTAGTATATGCAGAGTTCAAAATCAAGCAAAATTCAATATGAAATGAACAAGAAAGCTGTCCGAGCTCATTCTGCCAGAAAAGGGCTATCCAGAAAAGATGCAGTGCAGATAAAGGCTTATTGTAATTGATCTGAACAAGCAAGCACATTTATATATATATATTTAAAGCAAAAGAGGGGTTATTGCCACACTCCCTAACCCCCCCCAAAAAAAATTAAAAACAGATCTTTCTAGAATAATCAAGAATAAATAGCTTATAGGTGTCCCATAATATTCATATCAAAGCAAAGTTACAGATTTTATCATTTTCAGTGTATTGGCAAGTGCTGGTTAGGCAATGTATTTCCTATCAATATAAAATTATTAATATAAATAAAAAGGAAATTCAGGTTAATATATATGTATATATTATAGATATTTTAAATAGGAATTGCCAGTTTTTAATGGATGGCACTTATTAATTTCTCAAAGCATTTATTATTTCTCTTAAATGAAACTAGTAGTTCTTTTCTAATGTTGCACATATTCAGAGAGCCTGAAACTGATGAATAGTGTATTACTGAGAAAGAAAAATAAAATATGACTGCAAAACTCCAATTATCCATATTGACTGACCATCCAAGATTAAAAAAAGTCTGGATAATCTGCTTGTCTTTTTTTCTCTTAGACTAAATATGGACCTTATGCCATTAATATACAAATTTAAGAAGACAAAATCTCTCCCTATTATCCATTTTTTATTTTTGCTGCAATAATAACATTAAAAGGTAAAGTCATCGCATTTAGTCTACAGGATATTTCATGTAGAATGGGAACAAATGAATAGCATAATACAAATTCTATAATTCATTTATTAAGCCAAAACAAATTAACTCTGAATCTTCATCTTTACAAGTTTTACCTGGCAGCAGCAAAAATATTCCGATTACAAAATCGCCGCTAAAGGCTCTGTTGATTAAAATGTCACCATCCATGCAGGAGAAAGCATAACTGGGTTTTGGAATATGTCAAAACATCATTGTTTGTCATTGTTCAAAGACATTTTCACATGAAATTTTGTAAAGAACCACCGCATCATAACATTAAATGGTGGGTGAAGTAGTTTCAGGACACTGGCTGCTTGTGTAAGAAAACCAGCCCAGGGTGAACAGCAGCAAAACCAGAGTGGTTGAAAAAATTAGTGAAACGTTTTTATGAAGTGCCACAAATCAATGCATTCATTCTGCAGCGAGATGGTGATCCATCATATTTGCATAAAAACATAGCCAGTATTTAAGCAATAGTCTACTCCATTACTGGCTTGGCCATGCTGAAACAAATGATATTCCATTGTTTTGTTGGCCACTGAGATCCCCACATCTATTCCCTTGTGATTTTTTCGTACTGTGTTTTATTAAAGACAAAGTGTTCATGCCTCTATTTCCCCAGAACTTCTGAAGCAACGTATAACTGAAGTGCTTGAATCATTAACATAGGATATTCTATCATGAGTGTGGGAGAAGCTAGAGTATCGTATAGATATTTGCCATGTCACCAGAGGAGCACACATAGAACATCTATAGAAACTTAAATGACTATAATTTCACTGTAAATTTGATTTATCGAAATAAAGTAGTTACAGCTTTCACAGGTTTCCTTTCATTTTATCCCATTCAATATGAAACATGCTATACTTTTAGCATATATGAAAGCTAATGTTTGGGAAAGTTGCATTTGCCATATCAGGAATAAATGAACAGTAAATGTGTATGTAATTTTTCCCATTAATGTTTGTGTGTTACATATTTGAAAACTAGGTGTAGGCCAATTTACATATTATACATTTCTTCTAAATTAACCCTCTTTTGACCAAAATTTGGGGAGAAGTAAAAAAAGTTCAAAACCTTGCTCTTGCATGATACCTGTGTGGTGAACAAAAGGGAAATAAACCAGTTAACTTTTCAAGTTACATCATGGATAGTAACTTGAAAGTCACAATGAGTTATAATGGTACAGCATAAAAAATAACCAATAAAAAATAAATGAAAATAAGAATAAAAAATAACTATTGTCTGAAAATTACATAGGACCATCAAAGATTAATCTAGTAGCTTCTTTTACTCTATCATGGTAGTTTGTTATCCTTTTTTGTCACTATAACAATAAGAAAGTTTAAAATGCATAAATAAGTTATTAATAAACTCAGTTTTATTTGACCTAGAAGTTTTAGATAATTATATTTAAAAGTCAATTCTTGATCACTCTCCTCATACCATTTAAGTTGAAAAGTACTTTTAACAAAATACCGATTTTCAAGTAAACAACTATTTGATTAAAACGTTAGTGAATATGAAGGATGCAATATTCTCTGTAATTAAAAAATAATTATGTTATCAAGTTTAGAATAATCTGATTATGCTCTTGAATACATCAGAACAACAACAAAACAAAACAAAACAAAAAAAAAAAAACTTTTCCTTTTCTTGTGGTCTTTTTTTCATTTATCTTGCTAGCATTAGAAACTTCTTAAAGGCAATGCAAACGTTCACTTTAAAATTGTTTTGCTGTATTTTAATTTATTTAATTTATTTAGTGATTCACAGTCTTATTTAAGTATGACAAATCTCTGGCGAATATTTCATAAATTCTCGTAACTGTTGTGTGCTCTTGCACTAGCAGCTGACTAAATGATGCATAAATCTTTTAAAATAAAGTGCTGTGCCTTTCTAAAGGTTTTTTTTTTTTTTTTTTTTTAGCTTAAAAGTAGCATTTCATGCCTGATACACCATATAAGACTTTTTTGCTACTCTGAATTAATAAAGAAAATGAAAATTTTACATGAATAGTGCTAGGACAATGTTTTTCTGGTTCATCACAAAATTGGCAGCATTTTTGAGAGAGCATAATTATTATGCTGAAATCCCTCCCATACGACATGTTCCAGTTGACTGTTCCTCATATCATTTCATGATTGGTTGGTCTCATCTGAGAACATAATTTTTCATCTTTATATGACAGCTGGGACTGTTTCTTGAAAAGACTAAGATGCTTCAATTCTTAGATTCGTGTTTATGTTCTGCATCTGGCAGTTTGTTCAAATGTCAGAAGATGTATCTCACAGATAAATTATTCTACACTATCAACTATATTTTGTACTACTTCACTTGAGATCTCTCAACTAAAATGTATCACTTTAAAACTTCATCTGTTTAAAAAAAAATAAGAGAAAGTATAGGATTTTCCTTGGGAATAATTTCATAAAACAAGGCTGGAGAAATTTTCAGCCAACCAAAATTAAGAGCTGAAACTTTCAGTAATACTAAAAAAGAGACTGGAGGAAAGGCAAACCTTCAAAGAAAATAAACAGCTGTAGTTTACTCCTTTCCTCTACCCCCCCCCCAAAAAAAATACTTTCTAAGGACATGAGAATGTAACGTCACATTTACAACTTATAACAATAATTGTTGCTGCTTCAAAATTTCTACCATGTTGTCATATCAAAAAAATATTTTATTGTTCATAAATGTCTAATTTATCCCCCAAAACTTATTCTTTTGTTACGTACACAATAAATAAATAAATATGTCTATGAATTTAACAGATTTTAATATTTTGTATCATCAGGAAAATATTTATGTGCCTTTTTTTAAACTTGTAAGCATATATAGTATAGATAAAATAACTGATTTAGAGAACCCAGCTTTCAATAAATTTTTTTCATTCATTCTTTTATTTTTTTGCTTAACAAATATTAGAATATTTTATTTCAGCTGGTAATCAACTCATAGTTTTGTTACACTCCTAACAATATGAGGAAATTCTCATTCTTTATTATACAGATATAAGCAAGCAATGCACTACAGTTATTGTTAGATTGTCATATTGTTATCTTTAGTTTTATTGTCTATCATTTTGGTAGTTTCATAATAAATTCCAAAATCTTTTTTTTTTTTTTTGTTGTTGTTGTTGTGGTGGTGGTGGTGGGAAAAATTATAATTAAAACTAGTATTCGTAGATAAATTCTAACTTCGAATATCATCAAAAATGGATATCATGCAAATTTTCTGGTAAATTTTGCACTGAAGCTTATATAAACAGTATTATTTTTTTAAACCATTATTTTTTATGTCTCTTTTTAGGCTGACATAGCAAAACTGTACTCTGATTTAAGTGAAGAAATAGTTGGCATCAAACCCACAGAAGGAACGAATTTTGCTACTCATTTTGCACATACTGTTTCAGAATATGATGCTCAGTATTATGGATATTTGGTATGTAGTTCATGTTTTTGTTAATTAGTTTGAAGATTTTATTTCCATATTAATACATGCAATTGATAGAAAGTCATTTTAATACTAAAGTTTACAGTACTAAATTTTTTTAAAAATAATATGCAGAATATTTTTGTGTGGAAATAAGTCTTTTCATTGCATTTAAAGTATTTGCTTTTAGCAGCAATAAAATTTTTCATCTGAATAGATTAATTTTCAGAACTGCTGTTTATAAATTTGTATTTCAGAATGTGATTTACAAACTTCAACTGCTTCTTTTGTGTGTTAAATTTATAACATTACAGCTTGTGTTTAAATTTTGGGAACTAAAATTCATTGGGTGCTAAATTAGGCATATGAGGACTGTGATTTAGCAAAGTAATTTTTCATGCCTCAAATAATTAATAGTTTTGAAATGCAGCATATAAATCTGCATTATCATGGTGCGGGATGATCACCACTTTTTTAAGTTCAGGAACTGTTTTTGCTAAATTGTCATATATCAGTCTGCATTTGCTGCTCTGTTATATCTGTCAAAACAATGATTCCAACAAGGCAGGATTTATGAGAAGTGCAGCAATTATTATTTATTTTTTAAGCACTTCTTTCATAAACACCTTATGTAAAATTTGATTCATTTTGAAACATCAAAACAGTAGATTTTGATTTTGTTTTGAGTTCAGAGGAATTGATCTGCATGTCATCACCTGTTACAGTGTCTGAGATAGCTTTTCAGGCCCCAGAATTAAATTTTTGAGATTTCCCTTGTACCATTTGACTCTGGCGTTCTTGTAAATTTTTCTTAAATTGTAATTTAATAGTAAAAGAGGAATGATCATGTATATGCCTTTTTCGCTTTTAAATTATCCTGTAAAATTTATTGCACTCATCTCAATGAAATGTTGAAACATCTGTTACTTTCATTGTATGTGTCGTGGCAGTTTAAAGTGATCTTTTTTTTTTTTTTTTTTTCACAGTGTCAAGATTTTCTGATATCACAGTAGCTTTTTGCTGTTTTTCAAAAATTCCATCATTTAAACTCATAAATCTATGATGAAATTCTTTAAATGAATTGTAAATTATTGCTTAGGGATGGTGTTTCATTACTAAAAGTCAAATTCATTCCATCAACACCCTGTTGTTGTGGCAAACCTTGATGAAATTTGTTATAAATCACAGTTTAAATCCGTGATTTGTCACTATCTCATTAACATCCATAAAAATTTTTATGACATTTCTTATTCTTTATATATGAGAAAGCCAATATGAGATAGTTGAGATTAAAAAAGAAATTCAGCTGCTGTTTCTGGTATTGCTGGATTCTAAAAATTAAACACTGATTTTCCATATAGTATCAGATCTGTTAATATTAGTTTATAAATATTTAAATTTGTCTTGCAATAAATTTTGACTTCTGAAACTTTATGAATTAGTTGGAGATTCACAAAACAAATCTATAACTCAAGTTAATAAATTGCTTTTTTTTTAGCAAGTATTTCTTATTTGAATTTCAAAAGCTATTTGAAGCATCTATTTAATTAAATTAATAAAAAGCTCAGTCTCAAATAACTTTGAAGTAAGTTTGTTAATTTATTTACTTTTAATAAAAAGATCTTGTAACCTTGTTTATTGATTTTCTTAAATCATTAGATTTGTTACATAATGAATAAGGATAGCATTTTAAAATGTTGTACATTAGGTTGCTTAGTGCATTTAAGACTCTTAATATTTGTTGATGTATGACGATTTAAGTTATGTATTTCTAATATAGTAAGTCTGAGTAAAATATAGTAAATGAAAGTTAGATTAATTCATATGATAATGTGTATAGTTTATGGAAAGAAGTGTCACCTGTTTTATGCATTTATTCCAAGCAACCTGTGATACTTTTATATATCATAGCAGAGTTGCCAACTCTCCGGATTTTCAACCACTCTCCCGCCAACCTGATTTACAGTATATTTCTCCAGACTTTTTCTTATTCTTAAAATTTCTCATGATGTTTATGGAACTTGGCTTAATACTTCGTTATATGAACAAAACAAAAAAAAGTGATTTTTGACGTCTGAAAGCAATTGAATTTTATCTAGATTTGCGAATCAGATGAGAATTTCTGCTTTGTGAGTGAGAGCATACATATCCGGAAACGTCATTCTCCAGTTCTCCAATGGGCATTGAGCTCCACTGCGTGTCATCTGGCATATATCAGCCAATGAGCACAAAGCAAGCTCAAAGCTGTTAGTTGTATGTTCTTTAGTTATTTCGTCATCTTGTCCTGAGTTGTGTGAGTACACGTGCCTCGGGAAATAGTTTTAGAAATTATCATCTTTTGTTATGTCTGTGAGAAAGGTGAAATACTCATGTATGTTTCAAAAATCCTACACAGTTGACTTTCCTTCCACTATTTCCTCAAGGAAGTGTAATAAATTTGCGATGTGTACCATCTGTCATTGCGATTTTTCGATTTCACATGTGGAAGGGCGGATGTTCTCAAACATGTGTGTACACAAAGACAACATGAGTTGTTTTGAAAAAAACGAAAAATTGAATTTTTCTTCGGAAACAAAGGACCGAAAAGTTATTATTGCAGAATGTCTGTTATCTTGCCTTTTTACTGGAGCACAACTGCCACTGAATGCATCGGATCACGCTGCAGCTTTATTTAGAAAAATGTTTCCCGATAGTGAAATCGCTAAGAAATTGCAGTCCCTCTGGATAATTTGCTTAGCACTTGGTGCTGATAATGCACCAGTAATATAAGGCTTGAAGACTGTTGTTGCAGGCATCTTAACAAAGGAAAATTCAGATTTGCAAATTACGAGGTGCACCTGTCACCTCTTAAATTTAGCAGCTGAAAAAGGGGCAGCTTCTTTACCAATAAATGTGGATAAACACATTGTTGATATTTATTATTATCTTGAAAGGAGTTCTAAAAGGAAGGAAAAATTGAAACAGTTCCAACAGCTGCATAACTAATATTAGTGATGATGCATTTGAAAAACTTTTATTAGCGAAAGCAGGCCTACGTGGCAATTGCTATGAACAAAATTATGAAGTTTCTTTCTTAACAAAAGCAAAATCTGCCACTGTTCATAACATTTGTACGAAAACTGATTAAAGTGTCTTCCCCCCCCTTAAACGATGCAAGCAATAAAAATGTTTTTTATGTGTAAGGTATTTTTGTGTTGCTTGCATTTAAGAATTAGTAACTATTTAAAGTTAATTCGTTATTAAAAACTATATTTTTATCATTTAAAAAGTCTTTTTAACATTGTGAAAAATCTCCTGATTTCTTAAAAAGTCTCTTGATTTTTGAGTGTCATAGGTTGGCAAGTATGTTCTAGTTGTTGTTTCTATAATAAACTCTGAATTCAATATATGGTGTAATCTTTTTCTACACCACTTGATATAAATATTTTTTGAAACATATACACTGTCTTTTTTAATCTCCACAGTTTGTGTTCAATGAATATAGCTATATCTTGGTGGGTTTCTTATTGGCATTTTGTAGTAGTTGTGATTGTTAGTTATTGCTGTTAATTTATTATTGTATAACAAATATTCCTCAAAATAAAATAAAATTTTAAAATTTGTGGCAAGGATACAAAATTTTTATTTGAATATAACTAAGCAGGTTTGATTGCACTAGCTTTTTTTACTGAAGTTCTTAAATAAGAGTTAGTTATAATTTATTGGTAGCTGTACTTGTGAAGTTTATCACAGATGTAAGTCATGAATAACTGCCCATTAGTGGTCAAGCAGTAACAATGCTGAACACTCATAGTTCAACTAAATCCTTGTGAATAAACTGGCTGCCTGGAAGTTTTTTTCATGAATATGTAACATGAATATGAGCCTGTTTACCTTAAAAAGTCCAGCATGAAAGCATTCTCCACATGCAGGTAGCCCTTAAGCTGCTTTGCCTTAATCAGTTAACCAAGCCGCATGAACAACAACATTGCTTGCTCACAAAAAGATGAGCCATGATATTTTGGACTACAAATATCACAAAATCCTGACAATTTGCGCTGTGTTCTGTATTTGGCAGTTTAATGTCTTGGTTGTGTGAGGTTTGCATAGATTATGTGTAATGAATTCACAGATAGCTTCCATAATGTCCTCTCCCAACTTAGGCAAATAATCCTAGGATTTAAAGTAATCTAATCTCTTAAATGTGTTTCACTTCATTTCCTTTATAAAGCAACTTCTAGAAGTAAGTTCTCTTAAAAATGTTATGATGGGTTTGAAATAGTGTACATATCGTACCCAACAATTTTTAGTCATGAGATTCAGCTGAAAATATAGTTTTACACAGGCTGTTCAACACCTTTGGCTATTATACAAGAGTATCTAACAGTTTTGCGTAAAGGGTTGTGATGGTAATATTGTAGTCATCTTAAGTGCAGATAATTTTTGATTGTGCCAGCCATTAATTGTGCCTTTTTTATCACAGTTTTATTATATTAGCCTGTAAAATTATGTACGAGACTTCAGTGATATGAAAACAATGAAAAACTCTGTTTTTTCCTCATTTTTAAAAAATTGTCGCACATTTTAGAGTATTTCTCTGTAAGCATGCTTAATGCCAGGTTAATATGATTTTTTTTCTTAAATAACATTAAATTTTGACAGAAATGTTTTATGAACTTCCTTATATTCATCGTAGGAACTCATTGTAGGGATGATTTGAAAAACAAAATATTTAATCTGTAGCTTTTAAAATTTGTCCAGTCAGCAAAATTTACAGAAAATGTACAGTTAGCTGAGTGCAAAAACTCCAGAATTTTAATTATAATGATTTTTTTCCCGTAGGGTTTTATTGTGTTCATGGCCCACCAGCGGCCGAGCAGTAAAGTCGCTGAACACTGGTAGTTCGGTCCGAGGTTCGAATCCCACGAATGGGCTGGCTGCATGGGAGTTTTCGTGGTTTTCCCCAGGTGTAACGTGTATACGAGCCAGTTTCCCTTAGAAAGTCCTCTGCAAAGGCATCCCTCCCCTTAGGCAGATAGCCCTCAAGGCTTTGCCATATTCACGCACACACATACATACATACATTATTGTGTTCATTGGATGGATGATGTTGGAGTATACATATAATGTAAAATTTCTTATATAAAATTTAAGCTTTTCATCTGTTATACTTTAATGGTCAAATTTGAAGGTAGATATTTGCAACACAGTGCCTATATTAGAAAATTTTATTGTATTTTACAGTGGAGTGAAGTGTATAGTGCAGATATGTTTTTTTCTCGCTTTGGAAGTGGAAATCTGTTTAATCCCGAAGTTGGCCTGGATTACAGAAAGAAAATTTTACAACCTGGTGCTTCAAAAGTAAGATGATATATTTTTTGCATGCATTGAAAATATGAATAATTGCATAAACATATATATTTGTACACTCGTACAAATATATACACTTGTAATATTGTATATATACACTTATAATATTGTACACTTGTTTGTTTTTATATTAAAATTATTTAAATTTTATAGAGAAAGCGTTATTGTACTGAATAATATAAACATTTTTATTAAGTAAATGGTAATATGCTATGTTTGAAAGCATAACTTTTTATTAAGCAGTCGCTATAATTTCAGATACTCATGTGTGTTATATATTCATGCATGTAAATTGCATTAATTATCTTCATGCAGTAAATTGTTACAATAATAAAAGTCAGCTTAGGTTCATTAGAGAAAAAAATATTCAGAACTAGAAAAAAGTATTTTTTTTAAAATTAAAAATAAAGTTGAGGTTTTACTACAGTATACCCTTGCGAACAAACTTAAAACCTAAATATTCATGTAATTAAAAAGAAAAAATGAAACTATTAGCTGAAATTACTTGGAAGTTCCTGTGCTTTTTTTTCCAAATCGTTTATCTTCTTGTTAAGTTACAGTTGCTTTATTTTCTTCTTCACAACTGCTGCTTTTACTGTCAACAGTTGTTATAAGATTATCCATTTCTTCATTCATCATTTCTTGATTGTCATTCTTGATTAATTCTATGATTTTTCCTTCCTCCATGTCTGGAAAGTCTTTCACTGCTAACTGGTTTTGCAATTTGTAAAATTTTTTTGGCTATTGCAACGCAGTCGACACTCTGGGTATGAATGAAATTGTATAGCATTGGACAAGATAAATGAAACAATTAAAATAGCACATATATGCAAATTTACATTCAGCAAGGGTTTATTGTATTATATTGCTGAATAGAAATACTTATGAGGGATAAAGCTTAATATGTATAACTTTTGCTTGATTAAAGCTTACTTATATTACTTTGCTTTTATAAGGAACTTAAATTAACACCTTCTTTGCTTACAATAAGAAATCCAAAGAGGATTCTCACTTTTATAAAGGAAGTTAAAAAGTCAGAATATCAGTCAGTGTTCATTTTATTCCATAATTGCATAAAAGTGTGACCTTTAACTGTGAAAGACCTCACAGGTTTATATAAAATTTGAATTTCTTGGGGAAAACTGTATGACAAGGAAAATGCATCAATTCAAGAGTCATGCATATTTCAAGTTTTTCACCTCAATTAGAACAGAAACAGTGGCCAACTTTTAGCATAGGAACGGGTAAATATAGGAATTTATGGTGCCTCTCCTGGTTATAAAAGATATTAGATGATCTTTATCCTCTTCCTCCTTTGTATACTTATTTCTCATACATACTTACTGAATCTCAGAATGTAGCTTTTTTATTCCCACTAGCTGCGAGCTTTCCAAGATGGGAACCAGTTTTGAAAAGTAAGACTACACTATACATATCTTAATTCAATTTACAAGGGTTGTGAATTTATATATACTTGCTTTGGTATAATTTAATATGATTTTTTAAGGTCCCCCTTCTCCCTCAAAGTCACTGGAATACTAAAAATTTTTCCAGTATAAAATAATAAGTTTTTCTTTGTTTCCTCCACATTTTGATGAAATTCTTAGAAATATTTTACTTTTGCAAAATAGGGATGAGAATCTGTGTAGCTAGCTAATTACAAATTTAAACAGATATCTCATTTCAGAGATTTGTTAATGTTAACTACAGTTATTTTTAGTTAAATCATTCATGCTATATTTCTTCAGTTTTCACAATGTGATTTATTTTAGATTTTGATAGCATCATTGTGTTTTATCACTAAAGTGAATTTTAATATGTAGAATGAGAAAGAAAGAATCAGAAAATTATGATTGGCATTTATTGTGAGTTATATTTCTTGTCATTGAATTCATTGGTAAATAACACCCAAAATGAAATGAAGGCACTGATATTCTGCCCAAAATAAGAAAAGCCAGTATACATTGAAAATTAGAAATCATTAAAGGAAGATAAGTAATAATTAATGAAATTGTTGAAGGGATAAAAAATAACCTGATCTATAATTAATTATTGCAGAGTCTGGGATCATTAAAAAATGAAATATCCTTATGCATAATGATATAAAATTCCCTTTCTAAATTACTTTTGTAATTATATCATTTTTATTAGATCTAGCTGCATAAAAGAAAAATTTAATCTAGAAATAATATGTGTGTTTATGATTAAAAAAATTAAGTACCTATATTCATGTAAACCAGGAAGAAAGTTGGAATGAATTCAAACTTATCCATATGCTAGGGATGTGAGGTCTGCATCAGGATCCATGGTCATAATTTCAAACACCTTCTTTGATGACAACCATTGTCTGTTTTGTTCTTATTTCTTGATTTCTGCTGTACTAAGCATAATAAACATGTTTCCTCACCCTGTTCATTATCATGTTTTGTTGCATTTTGTGTTGTTACTACTGTGCCAGGAAAGCCTTTTCGACCATACATTGGTATGTGATTTTCCATCGTCTAGGTGTACTTTTTCTCTTCTGAAAGTCTGTAACTGATTTGCTGAAACACCCTATATATGTGTAGTTAGTTGCATTATGAGATTTCTTGCTGTCCTTGCATTAGATATGGTATAGTTGATATGACTACTCCAGAGCTACTTCACATCGAAGTAAACTCCTAAATATTTGTAAGAATCCACTCAAGGTGCATTTTCATCGTAGAGCTTGACTAGTTGGAGTTGGTTTGTGGACATTCCTCTGCTTAAGAAGGGAGCCTGTTAGCAGCTCATCACTCTTAACTTTATTAGATCACTGATTTCCATAGTCACGAGGGTGCCCATAGGGATAATCTGGGTAATATTTTCAGGCTAGAGACAAAAATTTGGTTTTTAAATGATAGAGCTTTTTTCAAGGAATTTAATGGTACAAGCAAAAAAGTACTGTTTGCAAATTTTTATTCTAAATAGCTTATCTCTTATAGTATTTCTACTACATAATCAATCTTCTGCATCAATGTGTAATATTTATGATTGTTAACAAATGATTATTGTCTCATGCCATCAGTTTTTTAAATAAAGCTGAAAATTTAAGCTGTTATTTAATATTTAATCCCTAATTATTAAACAATGAATATTCATCAGTACCCAATGAAAATAACTTTCTAGGGGTACCCTTTAGTTAAATTTCACTATGCAATATTAAGAAAAAGAGTTTTACTGCAAAAATTTTTATAATGCTTATCAGTTAGTAATTTATTAAACCTATATATAAAACTATATAACTGTATTATTTAATTAATAAAATATGAATAGAAACATGTAAGCATGAAATGTATATTTTCAGTATTATACAAACTAATTACAGTCAAAAGTCGTTAATTCGGACACCCATAATCCGGAATGATCTATAATCCGGACCTCAAAGCTACAAACTTTCTGCGCATGCATCGCGTTCACGCATGCGCACAGGCGTTTACGAGAGCGCGTAAGACCCTTACAGCTGCGAATATGTTTGTGCGCATGCGCGTTTAATGTGTAACGGAGTTCTACGCTAAGCTAAAGTTATCTAATTCAGTTAATGTTGCAGATTGCGTTGTTCCTTAATCTTCGAATTGGATCCGGCTTATTATTTTTTGCAGATGTTAGAGCAGTTTTATAAAAGTAAGCTTGAACTTTCGATTACGTCAAATAGAATTTCGATATATATTTACTACAAAGCGAAAGTATGTTTTGAAATCCGAAATCTGTTTATCAATTTCACGCTGCTCTGCGGCAGAGGGGGGGGGAAAACGTTATTATTAGATTATGATAGATTAGAAAGATTATGTCAAATAGAATTTCCAATATATATTTACTAATATGTAATTTGTATCTACAAAGCGAAAGTATGTTTTGAAATCCGAAATCTGTTTATCAATTTCACGTGGCGGATGATTTAAATCAAGTTCCTCGTCATTATAATTCTCGCTTCCGATAGTGAAGAAAGTGACCCAGAGGTTATTGAAACGAAAACATTTCGATTGACAAATTAGTCGGTATTCTCAACACAGCAATTATAGGACTTGAACAGCCGAACTTTGTACTAAACAAGAAATTATGTCTGTTTAATGGAATTAAAGAGAAAGTATTATCACATGAAACATTGAAAACTTACATTGAAGGAAATGTTTAATAAAGTAAACAAATAAATATTAAGTTTTTTCTTTTTGTAAATTTTGATACCCTTTAGATCATAATTGTTCTTTATTTCATAAATTACGGTTTCATATTTTTAATTTTGTAATTTTTGCATGCCATCTTACCAGATTTAAACTGATGATCTATAATCCGGAAAAATCGATAATCCGGAATCGCCGAAGTCCCGACGAGTCCGGATTAACGACTTTTGACTGTATAATGAAAGTTAAATGCAAAATTAATCAAGTGTTTTCTCCATAAGTTTTTTTATTTTATTTTCTATTTAATAAATGCTGTTACTAGCATTTAATATGAGGGTTTGAGTGCTAAAGTTATTTTATACATATATAGGGGTTAATGTTTAAATAACTCAGTTATCTTAATTATTTTATTATGCCAACACTTTTACTTTCATTAACTTCTATCAGGATGCAAAAAGCACAGAAGTTTTTAGTTTGGGAGAAAGCTTTTGCTGTAATGCCTCCCTGCTTCTGGACTGATTTATCTGCTTCAGCTTAATTAGCTGCATTTGTTTTGTGAATGTTTAAGGCCAAGCGAAGGCTTATTTAGGCTTGTGTTACTTTGTATTTAATATTTTAATTTGACTAGAACAATTGTTCTACATTTCATTCAAGCAATGGCTATTAATTTTCTGCAATTGCATAGTATATGTGACTGTCATATTAACACAGAAGTTTATTTTAAACTTTAATTTGTATTTGTGATCATTCTACTTAGAAGATAGAATAGGTGATATGTCATCCATCTGTCTTAATGATTATAGGAGTTAAAGTAGTGGAGAACTGTACACGTATGATCTCATTTATGTTTTAAAATCTTTATTATTATCATATTCTTTCATATCTTTAAAATTAAATTTTTTTTTTAATTAAGTTTTTTGCATTGAGACTGTAGCTGTTTTCTTAATCGTAAGCAAATAAAAGATATCTCTTTTCATATTTTAACCTCTTTTTTGTTATTGTTGCACTTTTAAATTAATTTCTGTATCTTTCCAATATTTACTTGTCCTCCTTTTTGTTTATGTATTTGGTTAGATTTTAAGTATTTTTATTAGTTTTCTGTCTTTATATTATATAATATAAATTATGTATATAAATATGTACTTTTCAGGATGCTATTGACATGGTAGTTGACTTCTTGGGTCGTCAGCCAACTCAAGATGCCTTCTTACGATCTAAAGGCCTACAAATTTAATTTTTATTTTTATTTTTGGTTGTGAAACTGTTGCATTTTGATGTCATGTTACAGACATTTTTTTAATAAAATTATGAACATATTTTAAACTAATCTGTTAAAAAGAAATTGTGTGTGTGTCTTGTGCAGCTTTCATTAAATTCATTTATGGCACTAAGGAAAACAAATGTATTTTGATTTATATGGAAACAAACAAATAACGACTTACTGCCACCAACTTTTTTATATATATTAATTCACATAAAATGAAGATTTTTATACTTTATCTGAAGCATTCATAAATATTTGCATATGAATAATTTTGCTACATAAATTAAATTGCAGAAAATATACATTTGTACTGCATTAGTTTAGTTATGTTAATATTTATGATTTGCTGATGCCTAGTTTAATTCTACTAATATTAACTTTAATAAGTGCTTTTTTTGCCATAGCAACCATGTAAATCATTAATAAGCTTACAGAAATTAGAATTATAACTTTATGAAGACACAGTTTTTTGGGGGGTCACTTTCCCTTGATTCCTCACATTGAGCCTTTCTTGTATTTTATGAAAATAGTAATTTCATAATATCTGTGTCTAATTTTATTGCAAAAATTATGCACCACTTTTGATATTTACATCCAGTCAGTCAGTTGCATAAAGAATTTGATGTTGTTATCCGCTGCATTCACTGTGTAATAGATAACCATTCAATATAAATATATAATCTTCAGGGCAATTCTTTGTAACAGCAAAGTTGCTAGAATTGCATTTGTATGTCAAACTGCATGCATCTAATTTTCTTTCCTTGATATGAGAATGCTTCCCCCTTCCTGAGTTTTCTACAATTTAAAATTATTTGCATGAAAATCATGGGAAGTTCTTATATTATTTACTCTCAAATGATCATCTTATACTTGAAATAAAGGGCAGACAGTGCTACATACATTACCAGCCTATGATGCCTCGTTGTAGTTAGTTGACGCTATTCTAAGCCATACTGCTAATATTTCAAAGTTAAACATGCATGAGCTTTGTAGATTTGTTTCTCTAAGACATCCTAAAGTGGGCGTATAAGAATGACTATATGTACCTCTATTGTTTCCTTGCAAGATATGTATATACCGAATATACAATTATGTTCTACTCATCATCCTTCTTTTGTACCATGTGTGAATGTCATTACACACATGGTACTATTATTTCCAACACCATCGCCATTGGACTGATTGTCAGATTGATCCATGAGGTAACATTGACCGCATGGAGCTCATTTCTGTCCCTACTTATTAGTATCTATATGATATCATTATTTGATGACCTGTAAAACAAAAAATTATGCCTTTCTGAGAGATTCATTATTTTTGCAAATAAAACGGCAGTTTCTGTAACATGTGAAAGATTAGTGAGATTAGTTATCTTCTTCATAAAATATGTAGCTAATCTCTAAAGTGTTAAGTGGCTTAGAAAAGTTTATTTAAAATGATTTATTTTCCAAATGATTAATTAACTCCAACATTTTTGTTAAGCCATGTCCTGGATAAGTGATGCGTGGTTAAGTTGTATTTTACTGTTCCAATAAAGATCTTCTTTTTTTATTCTTTTGTGCATTTAGAAAATTTTCCTGTAAAAGGCTAGCTGTCCATCAAATTTCTGAAGGACTTGCCACGTGTGTATGCTTGGGAGTAAGTTCAATATCAAGGCAGTTGGTACAATTAATATATGTCTGTGTGTCATTTGTTTGTCATTCTTTTAAGATATCTGGATCTTATTTTTTTTTAAACGGTCTAAGTGATGTGTATTTTGGCATAAATTTCACAGACCAGCAGGTTTTATCTCTGCTCCCAGATACCTGGCTTTCCTTGGTTAATTAACTGGCAGTCTCATAAAATTTGTTTCAGTATGGTCTTGACTGCAGTATATACTGAACAGACAAAGGAATAGTATCATGTAGGTTGTGAATATTTTTTTCAGTTCTTGAGCAAGCTTGTGTAATTGCTTCAGGTACAAAGTTAGAATCACTAAAAATTAATATATTAATTTGTATTTCATTTATTGAAATCTGTAGACGAAATACCTACATTTAAGTGCTATAATGGATTGCTTTAAATTCATAGCTGTAGCTTTAGTAATGTGTCCAGCACCAGTTTTCTGTTGCAATAGTTTCCTTTTGCTTGCTTATAACATATGTCAACTCCATCCTTAAAGATGATTTTATCTGACAAATCATCTTAATAGGTCAATAAAGAGTTTTTCCCTTCCCCTTCTTCTTCTTTTTTTTTTTTTTTTTTTTTTCAGAAACATTTCACACTTTTAAAATTGACAAATTTTGAATTAAAGATTTAAGGGAAAATTATTTTTGTTCCCTGAAATGTAATTTGAAGTCCTCTGTAATTCAACAACTCATTTCAGAAGGTCATATAAACTAGTCAGCAAGATAAACAGTCATTACTACAGTCATTACTAGCAGTTATAAAAGAATGGCTTAGCTGTAACTTATGATTTAGTTAACTAGTCTTATTTGATATATATCCAGTTAAGAAATGCATATTTCCGTTCTGCTTGCCTATCTGAGACTCAGTATTCATCTTAAGTTGTAAATGGTTTTTAAGCGATTAAATATTTAGTTATCTGATTTGTAGCTTTTACTGAGTGAGAAAAATCATTCAGAAGCACTCCTAATTTCTGAAGGATTAGTTATGTCATTTCAGATAATTTAAGTCTATTGAACTGTATTATTCTATTTATAGGTGACAATTCTTGTTTTAAATTTTAATTCGAACAGAAGTTATAGATTAAAGAAATTATCCTTGTTTTTACCTAAATTTGCATTGCTTATTTTAAAATTTAGAGGATAATTAGTCAACAGTTAATAACTTGTCAAAAATTATATTCCAGCTTGTTACTAATAGATTGTGAAGAATTAAATCGACAGTTTGTATTATATGCGAGAAGTTATACTATAAAACAGATCCATATTATATTTTAATATTGATTATTATTTGTGTCATTTATGCATTACTTTCTTCTCCTTTCTTTCTGATAGAAAATGGAAAAACAAATAGCAACAGAGTACTTCACCCAATCACAAATTTCAACAAGAGAACCTACCGATATTTCTTCCCTTTCAATGTCTGTGACTCACTGAGTACATGCTATGAGTTAAATGAAAAGTCCATCAATTTATGAATATTTGAAATAGAGGAAGTATACAAGATCATTTATTAACTGATGACCATTGATACATAAACATTTGTTACTTATAAAAAGAAGCATTGAAATGTATTGAATGCTTAGCATAATTATGAATTATTTATATTTTATATAATAATTCACAAAGCAATATACAAAAGTGTTACGATATTAAGTTGCAGAATTCAACATTTGCTTAGGCTATGCCAAGGCTGTTGCAGATAAACTTAGGATCTTTTTCAGAATGACGAATTCTTTGGCTTAATTTTGAGAACCACAATCTACTTTGGGACAGCAGTCTGGGTAGTGTCCTGCACCTTCAACAACATGGCAACCTCCTGGGACATTTATCTGACCACATCTGGAAGAAATTAGGATATAAACATTTATGTTTTTATACATTTTCTTAAAATATATACAAAAGTTATTTTAAAAGGTTTATCGAGTTTATTTGTTTTAGAACAACTTAATACTAAAATAATTTACCTTCCATTTGCTTCCAAATGTTCATGAACTGAATTTAGGAAAATACTTTTCCTTTTCATAAATAGGCAAAAAAATACTTTTATGAATGTTATTACTCCCAGCGTAATTATACTGCTGCTGATATTGGCAATATTACAAGCTAAAGCATATATATATATTTCAAAATTAAAAATTTGTGGAAATATGAACTTTATGATTGTTTATAAACAGTTCGCTGTTCTTCCAGTAACATTTGTCGAACATGAGATTTTGTGTACAGAAGGGTTAATTTCTAAAATTGGAGCCTTATATAGGTCATCAAGAAAAATTATGAAATTTTAAAATGTAAGTAGATAAGCAAAAATTAATAAATAAATGGCAAAGAGATAAATGATATAATAAAATATTGGGTATACTCTTATCTAAGGCTCTGGCTTAAATAAATTTCACTCAAAAACTAAGAATTGCACAAGCAGAAGTTTTTATTTTAAGTGACCATTTTGATAGCATTGATCTGAAAGGGTTCTCAGGTTCTCTTTTTTTTAATGGGAAGTCACTAGTTTATTTCAGACATATTTGAACCTTTTATCACAGGCCCATTGTCTTTTAACTTCCATTTAGGAGCATAAATAAGGGTCCCCCTTCCTGTTATAAACACGGATAACTGCAACCACCAATAGATACAATCACGAGAAATTTACCCATTACCAAACAAACCCTCGTAAATTGATTACACGTCCTGGAGGCGAAGTGGGGATTTTTCTTTCTTCAAACATCCGAACTTCTATTAAATTTTGAATGACGTAATTCTCCTACAAATATGAGCATGTGGAAGACCAAATTTGGAATTTGTTTTATTATCAATTTAATATTTTGTAAAACTTTAACGAATTTTTGATTAACAAACTCAAGGATTTCAAAGCAAGCAATGGCAACACTTTACCGGGGGGGAATCTTTTTATCTCCAGCGCGTGGAAATGTGTATCGGAAATTCTAAAGATATGCTCATTTTAAAATTATTTTGCATCATTGCTATTGAACTGAAGTTTATGGTTTTAAGTGAAAAGAACATGATATTAAATAAATAAAGGTAACACACAGAATGTTAAAAAAAAATGTTCCTTTGGACGTAATTTAAAATCCGAAACCTTTCAGATTTTTTTTAAATTTTCTTTGATCCTTCATTAAGATTAGTATAATAGAGACAATAGAATTTTAAATAAGTTTCCTTTGTGCTTGGAACAAAGTCGCTAAATGTTATTAGTTTAATCTGTGGTTTGAAACCCCGTGAACAGGCTCGTTGCATGGGCGTTTTTCCCATGTATAGCATGCATACGAGTCAGTTTCGCTTAAAACGCCCTCTGCGAAAGCATCCTTAGCTTTATACAGATAGTCCTTGAGTGGTTTGTCATAATCAAATAAACCAAACCTTTGTGCTTCCAACAAAGAAATAAGTGAAAATCTGTTGAAGAGAAGTCTGAAGAACGTGAGGGAAAGTTTTAGTTATTATACTGTACTTTAATAGATACTACTCAACTATTTAAACTCAATGAAAGTCATTTCAGATTATTATAGTGCTCCACACATGTCACAGAAAAATATCTTACTATTTGTGAGATTACTTTAATTTGAATTATCAGTTATTTTATGTCAAGAATCTGTACTGTAACATCGCTCTTTCCGTTTTCTCGCCTGAATGCAAATTAGTTCGTTTGTATTTAAGTGAGTTTGAGAATGTTAAGACAGCGTGTTCTGTCCCTTGTGCTGGGTTTGCTACTATAGATAAGAGTTCTTGTCTTCGGCATTGCGTTACAATTGCCGATAGTTGAATCCACGCTGGTGAAGTTCTGAGCCAACTTCACATAAATTGCTCTGTGCAGCCTTTGGATATTAATTTATTTAAATTTAATCTTTACATTTGATTTACTGATTTTAGCTTCTCATCAGAAATGCTAAGGGAAAAAAAGAAAGCCACCAAGAGTGTCTTCTGTTCATCTTATTTAATTTAAAATAAAGGATCTTTTCAAGTTTTTGTTATAAGTCCAGTCACTAATCGTCTACAAAAGTTTAACAGTGGATGTTACCAGAAAGAGTTAAACTTTACATATTGTTAAAAAGGAATAATGCCATCAGACGATTCGTGATATTTTGACATGCACATTTCTGAATTCTGCTAATGAGATGTTTTAATTTTCTGATTTTTTTTTTTTTTTTTTTAAATACTAGAGAAATAAGTTCTTTCAAATTTCTGAGAGCTACCTTGTCTATTAAACGATTTCCACAGAAAACAGAGTTAAGTATAGGGTGTTTCATATTGAATGGGACAAAAAGAAAGCATACCTGTGAGTGCTGTAATTACTTTATTTTGATAAATCGAATTTAAAGTGAAACTGTAGTTATCCAAGTTTCTATGGATGTTGTCTGCCCCTCCGGTGACATGGCAAACATCTATGCAGTATTCCAGTTTCTGCCACACTCATGATAGAATATTCTTTGTTAATGATCCGAGCACTTCAGTTATCCGCTGCTTCAGTTGCTATAAGGACTGCACAAACGGAGGCAAGAACCCTTTGTCTTTAACAAGACCCGGTAAAAAAAAAAATCACAAGTAGTTAGATTGAGGGATTTCTGTCATCAGCAAAGCAGTAGCATATCGTTTGACGCAACACAGCCAATCCAATGATAAGGCAGTCTGTCTTTCAGGTACTGGCATATGTTTCTATGCCATTGTGGTGGAGTACCATCTTGCTGCAGAATGAAGCCGGAAACCACTTCTCCCAACTGAGAGGACAATCACTCTGATAGCATATCTTGGTAATGCACCTGTTAATCAATTTTTTCACGAAAATAAAGGACCAAATAAGTAGCTATTGGAAATGGCACAGAAAACGTTCACCTTTGCAGAATGGAGTTCATGTTCCACTACAACGTGTGGATTTTCAGTGCCCCAAAATCTTTAACTTTGCCAGAAAAGTGTCATACATAAACATAAGTCTCTTTGCGATACCATCTACCTCCAGCTTATCTAGAAAATTTTCATAGAAATCTTTACGCAACGATTTGTCGGAAGGTTCTGAACGTCTGCACCATCTGAAAGTTGTATGGCCGGAATTGTAGGCGCTTCCGTAACACACGGCACATTTGTGGGAAGGTTTGAACGCTGCACCATCTGAAAATTGTATGGCCGGAATTGGAGATGTTTTCGTAACACACGCCATATCGTTACATGAGGCACATTGAGTTCAGAACTTGCACAATGCGTTGATTTTGTGGGACTTCGTAAAAACGTTTCATCAATTTTTTCAACCACTTCGTTTTTCGCTACTGTTCGTCTTGGGCTGGTTCTGAAACTGCTTTACGCTTCTTCGATGTGGTGGCTTCTTTACAAAATTTCGTGCGAAGATGCCTTTGAACGACGATAAACAGTGGTGTTTTGACATATTCCAAAACACGTACCTAGTTCACAAAAGTACGCTTTCTCCTGCACACATGACGCCATTTTGATTAAACTGTGCCTCTAGTTGGAAACGTTTCGCTGTTGCCATATAAAATTTATGTAGTTGTGAATTAGTTTGTTTTGGCTCAATAAATGAATTACAGAATTTATACTATGCTATTATTTTTGTCTCATTCAATATTGAAACACCCTGTAGTGTCTAATAGTTATCTCAATTTTGGTCGTGAGCTCCGCAGGGCATGGAATTCGTGTTCGTGTTCTGCGGCATTAATCTTTCACAAACTCCTTTTGATAAGTTTCCGGGGAGGATTCGATTTCATTTCTCAACATTATCTCGCTAAATCGGAAACGTTTTCGCTGTTGCCATAAAAATTGTGTGTTGTGAATTAGTTGTTTCGGCTCAATAAATGAATTACAGAATTTATACTATGCTATTATTTTGTCTCATTCAATATTGAAAACACCCGTAGTGTCTAATAGTTATCTCAGTTTGGTCGTGAGCTCCGCAGGGCATGGAATTCGTGTTCGTGTTCTGCGGCATTAATCTTTCACAAACTCCTTTTGATAAGTTTCCGGGGAGGATTCGATTTCATTTCTCAACATTATCTCGCTAAATCGGAAACGTTTTCGCTGTTGCCATATAAAATTTGTGTAGTTGTGAATTAGTTTGTTTTGGCTCAATAAATGAATTACAGAATTTATACTATGCTATTATTTTTGTCTCATTCAATATTGACACACCCTGTAGTGTCTAATAGTTATCTCAATTTTGGTCGTGAGCTCCGCAGGGCATGGAATTCGTGTTCGTGTTCTGCGGCATTAATCTTTCACAAACTCTTTTGATAAGTTCGGGGGAGGATCGATTTCATTTCTCAACATTATCTCGCTAAATCGGAAACGTTTTCGCTGTTGCCATATAAAATTTGTGTAGTTGGGAATTAGTTTGTTTTGGCTCAATAAATGAATTACAGAATTTATACTATGCTATTATTTTTGTCTCATTCAATATTGACACACCCTGTAGTGTCTAATAGTTATCTCAGTTTTGGTCGTGAGCTCCGCAGGGCATGGAATTCGTGTTCGTGTTCTGCGGCATTAATCTTTCACAAACTCCTTTTGATAAGTTTCCGGGGAGGATTCGATTTCATTTCTCAACATTATCTCGCTAAATCGGAAACGTTTTCGCTGTTGCCATATAAAAATTGGGTAGTTTGTGAATTAGTTTGTTTCGGCTCAATAAATGAATTACAGAATTTACTATGCTATTATTTTGTCTCATTCATATTGAAACACCCTGTAGTGTCTAATAGTTATCTCAGTTTTGGTCGTGAGCTCCGCAGGGCATGGAATTCGTGTTCGTGTTCTGCGGCATTAATCTTTCACAAACTCCTTTTGATAAGTTTCCGGGGAGGATTCGATTTCATTTCTCAACATTATCT